GTGTGTGTATATGTACCATGACCTGGGGTACATGATAACATCTGTGTGTATGTACCATGACCCGGGGTACATGATAACATATATGTGTATGTACCATGACCCGGGGTACATGATAACATTTGTGTGTATGTATGTACCATGACCCGGGGTACATGATAACATATATGTGTATGTACCATGACCTGGGGTACATGATAACATATGTGTGTATGTACCATGACCTGGGGTACATGATAATATCTGTGTGTATGTACCATGACCTGGGGTACATGATAACATCTGTGTGTATGTACCATGACCTAGGGTACATGATAACATCTGTGTGTATGTACCATGACCCGGGGTACATGATAACATATATGTGTATGTACCATGACCAGGGGTACATGATAACATCTGTGTGTATGTACCATGACCAGTGGTATATGATAACATCTGTATGTACCATGATCCGAGGTACATGATAACATCTGTGTTTATGTACCATGACCTGGGGTACATGATAACATGTGTGTGTATGTACCATGACCTGGGTACATGATAACATCTGTGTATGTACCATGACCTACCATGACCTGGGGTACATGATAACATATGTGTGTGTATGTACCATGACCCGGGTTACATGATAACATATGTGTGTATGTGACCATGACCCATATATGTACATGATAACATATGTGTGTATGTACCATGACCTGGGGTACATGATAACATATGTGTGTATGTACCATGACCCGGGTACATGATAACATATGTGTGTATGTACCATGACCCAGGGTACATGATAACATATATGTGTATGTACCATGACCCGGGGTACATGATAACATCTGTGTGTATGTACCATGACCCGGGGTACATGATAACATCTGTGTGTATGTACCATGACCTGGGGTACATGATAACATCTGTGTGTATGTACCATGACCTGGGGTACATGATAACATATGTGTGTATGTACCATGACCTGGGGTACATGATAACATGTGTGTGTATGTACCATGACCTGGGGTACATGATAACATCTGTGTGTATGTACCATGACCCGCATTACATGATAATATCTGTTACATGATAACATATGTGTGTATGTACCATGACCCGGGGTACATGATAACATATGTGTGTATGTACCATGACCAGGGGTACATGATAACATCTGTGTGTATGTACCATGACCCAGGGTACATGATAACATCTGTGTGTATGTACCATGACCTGGGGTACATGATAACATCTGTGTGTATGTACCATGACCCGGGGTACATGATAACATATGTGTGTATGTACCATGACCCGGGGTACATGATAACATCATGTGTATGTACCATGTGTGTATGTACCATGACCTGGGGGTACATGATAACATATGTGTGTATGTACCATGACCCGGGGTACATGATAACATATGTGTGTATGTACCATGACCTGGGGTACATGATAACATATATGTGTGTAACATGTACCATGACCCGGGGTAGGTGTACATGATAATATCTGTGTGTATGTACCATGACCCGGGTACATGATAACATCTGTGTGTATGTACCATGACCTGGGGTACATGATAACATCTGTGTGTATGTACCATGACCCAGGGTACATGATAACATCTGTGTGTATGTACCATGACCCGGGGTACATGATAACATCTATGTGTGTATGTACCATGACCAGGGGTACATGATAACATCTGTGTGTATGTACCATGACCCGGGGTACATGATAACATATGTGTGTATGTACCATGACCTGGGGTACATGATAACATCTGTGTGTATGTACCATGACCTGGGGTACATGATAACATCTGTGTGTATGTACCATGACCTGGGGTACATGATAACATATGTGTGTATGTGTACCATGACCCGGAGTACATGATAACATATATGTGTATGTACCATGACCCGGGGTACATGATAACATTTGTGTGTATGTACCATGACCTGGGGTACATGATAACATATATGTGTATGTACCATGACCCGGGGTACATGATAACATCTGTGTGTATGTACCATGACCCGGGGTACATGATAACATATATGTGTGTATGTACCATGATGTACCCCGGGGTACATGATAACATCTGTGTGTATGTACCATGACCTGGGGTACATGATAACATGTGTGTGTATGTACCATGACCTGGGGTACATGATAACATCTGTGTGTATGTACCATGACCTGGGGTACATGATAACATCTGTGTGTATGTACCATGACCTGGGGTACATGATAACATGTGTGTGTATGTACCATGACCTGGGGTACATGATAACATGTGTGTGTATGTACCATGACCTGGGGTACATGATAACATATGTGTATATCATGTACCATGACCATGACCTGGGACATGATAACATCTGTGTGTATGTACCATGACCCGGGGTACATGATAACATCTGTGTGTATGTACCATGACCCGGGGTACATGATAACATGATACCATGACCCGGGTAGGGATAACATGATGTGTGTATGTACCATGACCCGGGGTACATGATAACATCTGGTGTATGTATGATAACATGATAACATCTGTGTGTATGTACCATGACCCGGGGTACATGATAACATGTGTGTGTATGTACCATGACCTGGGGTACATGATAACATCTGTGTGTATGTACCATGACCCGGGGTACATGATAACATGTGTGTGTATGTACCATGACCTGGGGTACATGATAACATATGTGTGTATGTACCATGACCCATGGTACGTGATAACATATGTGTGTATGTACCATGACCCAGAGTACATGATAACATCTGTGTGTATGTACCATGACCCAGACTACATGATAACATCTGTGTGTATGTACCATGACCCGGGGTACATGATAACATCTGTGTGTATGTACCATGACCCAGGGTACATGATAACATCTGTGTGTATGTATCATCACCCCGGGGTAAATGATAACATGTGTTTGTATTTACTGTGACCCAGGTTACGTGATAACATCTGTGTGTATGTACCATGACCCAGACTACATGATAACATCTGTGTGTATGTACCATGACCCGGGGTACGTAATACCATATGTGTGTATGCACCATAACCGGGGGTTCATGATAACATGTGTTTGTATGTACCATGACCCGGGGTACGTAATACCATCTGTGTGTATATACCATGACCTGAGGCGACATGTGGTACGAGCGGGATTCGGACTCGGAATCTGATAAAAAAATGCTCCAGATCTCCTGTCATCCGTGCTATCACATGGGATGTCGGATGCTTAATGAGGCCAATCACTCTTTGCTTACTATTTCTTCCCGCATTAAGTGCTAGCATTATTTTCTCACAACATAAGACATTAGCAAACCTTTTGTTGGATGATTTGCTGGAGTTGACAATATATTGTTCCCCTTTTGCTGACAACATTATCTCCTTCAGGAAAACCTTGACCTATCAGAAGATATGGGTAATTTGCCTGATAGCTAGCAATTTAGGTATTTTACCCCACAGGCCCTCGTGTCTTTGAGAGGACACCACAGCCTGCACCACAGTACACGACTAACCCACACAACAACATGATGTGAGACTAACTCCAGTCTGTATTTAGAAACATTCGGGCTAATTCGGATAATCCTATTAACTGGTTAGAATGACAATAAGGTTGTTATTGTGTGAAGGTATTGGTGATAACGGTGTTTATATGTGTGAAGGTCTGAACGAATTACATTAGCCGCTCAGCTTGCATGGCACCGTCTGTACACGTGATACATGTGACGTCATAAGAGTGGATAATAAGCATATGTGCAGATAGGTGTATTGCGCCGTCTACCTGTTAGTGTAAGTCTATCTGACCTGCACAATAAGAAATACTGGTGTATGTCCACGCTATGTGAGTCGTGGCAGGTTTAAGATAATGGAACGTAGTCCAGCTGCGTGTAAGGTGATAAATAAATAGTGGTGAAACTCAGGCATTTTCCCCATGTTGATAAAGGCAAGCTACTTTATGGATGACAACTTCAATATTCCATTACTTCGATATTCCATTACTTCGATATTCCATTATTCCATTACTTCGATATTCCATTACTTCGATATTCCATTACTTCGATATTCCATTACTTCGATATTCCACTTCGATATTCCATTTCTTCAATATTCCATTACTTCAATATTCCATTACTTCGATATTCCATTACTTCGATATTCGATATTCCATTACTTCGATATTCCATTACTTCGATATTCCATTACTTCGATATTCCAATATTCCATTACTTCGATATTTAATTACTTCTATATTCCATTACTTCGATATTCCATTACTTCAATATTCCATTACTTTGATATTCCATTACTTCGATATTCCATTACTTCGATATTCCATTACTTCGATACTCCAATATTCCATTACTTCGATATTCTATTACTTCGATATTCCATTACTTCGATATTCCATTACTTTGATATTCCATTACTTTGATATTCCAATATTCCATTACTTCGATATTCAATTACTTCTTTATTCCATTACTTCGATATTCCATTACTTCAATATTCCATTACTTCGATATTCCATTACTTCAATATTCCATTACTTCGATATTCCATTACTTCTTTATTCCATTACTTCGATATTCCAATATTCCATTACTTCGATATTCCATTACTTCGATATTCCATTACTTCGATATTCCATTACTTCGATATTCCATTAAGTTGTCATTCATAAACTATCTTACATGTATTGTTACTTAGCAGTTACTTTAACAGGAATCAAACAAATGAATGTCATCCAGTGTGCAAAACTCTTATTTTCTTAATATTTTGAAAATTAGAATCTATTTGAAAATATCTCATTTGAGTATATGAAATATGGTATAAATGGTAGGCCTCTAAGCTATTATTTATGGGAAGGAATAACATTATTACCGGCTATTGGACGCGAGAGGGATGCTGACATGTATTGTTCCCGGCGGTATATACTATATTCACATGTTCACATGAGTGTCTTCTGTATCTTCAGAGATGGTACACGAACGCTGGACCCACCACTTTGACTACCTGACTACACTCCTGGGCTACAGCATCGGCGCTGGCACCTTCCTCAAGTTCCCATACCTATCAATGCGAAATGGGGGAGGTAAATGTTTCATGAACACCTTAAACGCTTGTGACACATTCGTTGGAATATTTGTAGAAGTGGGTGAGTGAACAGAGCTGTGCCTGGTGTATCCAAGGTTATGGCTTGAATATTGCTTAAAGGCGATGCACCAGTCACCCAGCCACTAGCTGAAGATGAAAGGTGTTAGATATCAGACAAATAATGTTACGAAAACCAGCAAGTAAACAGCAGGCTGACAATGCTTCATGACACCCCTTGTGTGCAGTAGACGGTGACTCACTACTACATGGCACAGGCGCCCTCATCAACCTCAACAGGCAATTTACTTTGCGGAGTTGTGTCCCTTGGGCGTGCAAGAAACCAAGGCGCTATTCATTCGGCCTGATTATATTGTGTGTAAACATCACCTCAGTGGTTGTAGTGGGGTCCGACAGACCTGTCAGTTCCTCCCTGCCGCCGTCATATAACTGGAATAGAGTTCAGCACGGCGCTACTCACTCATACATATCAGTACATTATCTGCAATTCTATTACTTGATTTGTGTAAGTCTGTATACATACTGACATGTGTTGTGTGTTTGATTCATGGGGAAATGTGTTCTCCAGGTGCGTCCCAGATGTACCGTACGATTAACACATGCTTTCATTTCAGTGTTTGACTGTAAGATGATAAGGTTTGTAATTACATATACTGCTCGGACTGGCAGAGTCAAAACAAGGTAATTTGGCCAAGACATTAACTATATATTCAGGTATATCAATACGTACAATAACCATCAGATAGCCTGTTTCCTTCTTTTGATTTATCCATTTAAAATATAAAGGAGACCAGTGACACCACTTTGTCTATTTCATGTTTAGCATATACATACAGATTGTCAGTGTGACTTTGGGGATGACTTCAAAGTTCCAAAAGTCATGTATGTCTCGAGGTGGAGCTACAGCTCCTGCTTGATGTAACAACATGTGAGGTACATTCGAACATGAGTGCAAGGTGTTTTACTAAGATGTCAGCGAGCGTCATGATACTCTTACCCAGCAGTTGTTTGTTTGCTGCAACATTCAAGGCCCCAGTGAACGTTTTGAGGCTATGGTGAACATGTGAAGGACAGTACCCAGTTGCCACATCAGTGACAAGATGACCCTGGCATGTGAGGAATGATGCAGGGTACATTCCCCTTTCCGCATCATCACCTGGGTTTATGGTAATTCATAAACACCTGGTCATGGTGTAGTCGGGCATAACCTCTCTTAGAGAATATTTCCACCGGATATAGAAACGACAGTAATGCTCTTATAGAGTACAGACCATACTCCTTGCCTCGCCGTCATTAACCATGTTTATCCTGTAACCGATTGTCATCCACCAGTCTGGTAATTCTCCTGATCCCATTAACGTGCGCCATACATTGATGTCGTCTTGACATGTCTCCCTGCATTGTCCATGTATCTGTCGGCCAACATAGCTACAAGACATTTCTCTCTGGCTACGAAATAGGACAGATCGACGTTAGACAGAATATAATCGTTGTTTTAATACGTTGCTTCCATTAATACGTTGCTAAGATCGCTTTGTGCAAGTGGGCCCAGGTTTCACGACATCTGCTCATTGGAGAAAGAAAAGAGAAAGCAAAACTATGAACATCGCATGCCTGGGTATTATTTGGCACGGTAGTATATAGATGCATAGGACTCAATAGAATGTACACTAACCTCCCTAAGCTGGTGTTATTGTGCAGGTGAAACATGCAGGAAATGTTAAATACTCTGAATTCAGACCAGCGTTCAGCGTGACAAGTGACATAACAACATTTTATTTTACGTATGTGAACTGTACGACATGCAAACCCACTCTGCTAATGATTTGTGTATCGCTGAACATGTGTGTGAATTAGATGAACTGCATAGCCAGATGTAACCCTACCCGACCCGACGCTCTTATAAGCGTCTCCAGCTGCATGTGGTCCCATACAGCTCCATGTGGTCTTAAAGTGCTTCATGTGGTCTCTTCATGCTCCATATGGTCTCCTCGTGCATGCTGTGGTCTCCTCATGCACCATGTGGTCTTCTCTTGCTTCATGTGGTCTACACATCCTTCATGCAGTCTTCTCATGCTTCATGCAGTCTCCTCATGCTTCATGCAGTCTCCTCATGCTTCATGCAGTCTCCTCATGCATGCTGCGGTCTCCTCGTGCTCTGTGTGTTCTACTCATACTTAATGTGATCTCCTCGTGCTCTATGTGATCTCATTATCCTCCATGTAGTCTCCTCATGTGCCATGTGGTCTCCTCATGCTCCATGTGGTCTCCTCATGCTATCCTCCATGTAGTCTCCTACATGTCTCCTCATGCCATGTGGTCTCCCTCATGCTCCATGTGGTCTACACATGCTCCATGTGGTCTCCTCATGCTCCATGTGGTCTCCATGTGCTTCATACGGTCTCCCTCCTCATGCTCCATGCTCCATGCGGTCTCCCTCATGCTCCATGTGGTCTACACATGCTCAGGTGGCTCCTCATGCTCCATGTGGTCTACACATGCTCCATGTGGTCTCCTCCATGTGGTCTACATGTGGTCTCCGTGTGCTTCATGTGCTTCACGGTCACCGTGTGCTTCATACGGTCTCCTCATGCTCCATGTGGTCTACACATGCTCCAGGTGGCTCCTCATGCTCCATGTGGTCTACACATGCTCCAGGTGGCTCCTCATGCTCCATGTGGTCTACACAAGCTCCATGTGGCTCCTCATGCTCCATGTGGTCTCCGTGTGCTTCATGGTTCATGCTGCTGGTCTACGGTCTCCTCATGCTCCATGTGGTCTACACATGCATCATGTGGTCTTCACATGCTCCAGGTGGCTCCTCATGCTCCATGTGCTCTCCTCATGCTCCATGTGGTCTACACATGCTACACAGTTCTATAGTATGACATATGTCTCTTGCCATAAAATGCAATTCTTTGTGACATCAAATTGCGTAAAATGTGACCATCTACAGTAATACTTGACCTTTTATTGTTCGTGTTACCTATGCCCTTCTCTGTCATCCCCATCATAATGGGTGGACGGACCGTCCGATGTTCTTGAGGGACCGTGGTTTTTTGGTTGTTTAGTAATCTGTTTCCGGAAAAGAGCGAAAATGCCTTATTTCCCACCTGTTTACTATTCACAATCATTCCATATCGTTCACCAGATGTTAAATGGTGATAAAAAATTGACTTCTCAAGAAAACGTGGTTTTGGGCCCCTGAAAGGACAATATTATTTCTGGAAACAAACTGCCGCCCCTCAGGATATTAGATGGTCGGTCCTAAAGGAGAAACATATATATTAGCATATATGGATAGCGTGTGCATTGTCGTATCGTTCAGCGTTATTAAATTCAGCTTCTCACCTGATATATGGTGTATTTCTTAGTTCACAAAAATATGTTATCGGGACTCCTCAGGATGTTCTTCTATTCCGATTTGTCCAACAGGTATAATGCATGGAAAGCTAACATTATTTTTATTCTCAAATAGGAGCTTTCCTGATCCCATTTCTTCTATTCACCATCATCGGGGCCATCCCATGTGTATTCCTGGAGATGGTCATCGGCCAGTTCTCTCAGAGTGGCCCAGTACAAGTCTGGAATGTGTGTCCTCCTTTTAAAGGTAGGATACTGCATCCCCACCAGGTGATAAATATCTGTGGAGTGTACACCCTTTAAAGGTAGGATACTGCAGCCCCACCAGGTGATAAATATCTGTGGAGTGTACACCCTTTAAAGGTAGGATACTGCATCCCCACCAGGTGATAAATATCTGTGGAGTGTACACCCTTTAAAGGTAGGATACTGCATCCCCACCATGTGATAAATATCTGTGGAGTGTACACCCTTTAAAGGTGGGATACTGCATCCCCACCATGTGATAAATATCTGTGGAGTGTACACCCTTTAAAGGTAGGATACTGCATCCCCACCATGTAATACATATCTGTGGAATGTATGCCCTTTAAAGGTAGGATACTGCAGCCCCACCATGTAATGCATATCTGTGAAGTGTACACCCTTTAAAGGTAGGATACTGCATACCCACCAGGTGATAAATATCTGTGGAGCGTACACCCTTTAAAGGTAGGATACTGCATCCCCACTATGTTATACATATCTGTGGAGTGTACACCCTTTAAAGGTAGGATACTGCATCCCCACCATGTAATACATATCTGTGGAGTGTACACCCTTTAAAGGTAGGATACTGCATCCCCACCATGTTATACATATCTATGGGGTGTATGCCCTTTTAAGGTAGGATACTGCAGCCCCACCATGTTATACATATCTTTGGAGTGTACACCCTTTAAAGGTAGGATACTGCAGCCCCACCATGTAATACATATCTGTGGAGTGTACACCCTTTAAAGGTAGGATACTGCATCCCCACCATGTAATACATATCTGTGGGGTGTACACCCTTTAAAGGTAGGATACTGCATCCCCACCATGTAATACATATCTGTGGAGTGTACACCCTTTAAAGGTAGGATACTGCAGCCCCACCAGGAGATACATATCTGTGGAGCGTACACCCTTTAAAGGTAGGATACTGCATCTCCCATATCACCCCTTTAATACATGTAATACATATCTGTGGGGTGTATGCCCTTTAAAGGTAGGATACTGCAGCCCCCACCATGTAATACATATCTGTGGAGTGTATGCCCTTTAAAGGTAGGATACTGCATCCCCACCATGTAATACATATCTGTGGTTCACCCTTTAAGGTAGGATACTGTACACCCTTTAAAGGTAGGATACTGCATCCCCACCATGTAATACATATCTGTGGAGGTACACCTGTAAAGGTGGATACTGCAGCCCCACCATTAATACATATCTGTGGTGTAGGATTTAAAGGTAGGATACTGCATCCCCACCATGTAATACATATCTGTGGGGTGTATGCCCTTTAAAGGTAGGATACTGCATCCCCACCATGTAATACATATCTGTGGAGTGTACACCCTTTAAAGGTAGGATACTGCATCCCCACCATGTAATACATATCTGTGGAGTGTACACCCTTTAAAGGTAGGATACTGCATCCCCACCATGTAATACATATCTGTGGAGTGTACACCCTTTAAAGGTAGGATACTGCATCCCCACCATGTTATACATATCTATGGGGTGTATGCCCTTTTAAGGTAGGATACTGCAGCCCCACCATGTTATACATATCTGTGGAGTGTACACCCTTTAAAGGTAGGACACCCTTTAAAGGTAGGATACTGCAGCCCCACCATGTAATACATATCTGTGGAGTGTACACCCTTTAAAGGTAGGATACTGCATCCCCACCATGTAATACATATCTGTGGAGTGTACACCCTTTAAAGGTAGGATACTGCATCCCCACCATGTAATACATATCTGTGGGGTGTACACCCTTTAAAGGTAGGATACTGCATCCCCACCATGTAATACATATCTGTGGGTGTACACCCTTTAAAGGTAGGATACTGCATCCCCACCATGTAATACATATCTGTGGAGTGTACATCCTTTAAAGGTAGGATACTGCTGCCCCACCAGGTAATACATATCTGTGGGGTGTACACCCTTTAAAGGTAGGATGCTGCATCCCCACCATGTAATACATATCTGTGGAGTGTACATCCTTTAAAGGTAGGATACTGCATCCCCACCATGTGATAAATCTCTGTGGAGTGTACACCCTTTAAGAAGAAAGGGTATAATGTTCTAATATGATTACTGTTCACATTCAATATTTACTAATCTTGTATTTTTCTGATGCACACTAGCATGTATAATTTTATTTAAGCAACCAAACATCACTTTAAAGCTTAATTATTAACTATGGCGTTACTTTGTTACTTCATCTTGAAATAAAGGTTGTAATAGTCACTGTTTTATGATCAATGACTATCTTCGTCAGTTGTAAATGTTAGTTTGCTCAGCCATTCCTGTAATTTACGTCCCCCTAGGTATTGGTCTGGGGACGGTGTTCATTTCCTGGACGTATGCAACGTACAACGCTTCCATATTTGCGTGGTACCTGTACTACCTGGTGCACTCCTTCGCCGCTAACTTACCGTGGGCCCACTGCAACAACGACTGGAACACCGCCAGATGCATATCACCGGGCGACTTCGCCAATACAACGTCCAGCAACGACACTTGGTACGCCGAAAACGCCACTTCGGCTGTCTCGGCTGTAACTCTTCATTCTTTAAATGGCTCGGAGCCCGGAGTAACTGCTGCAGAGGAATTCTGGAGGTAGGATATTGATTTCTGTATTCAGCTACATCAAATTGATAACACAATGAAATATTTATGGCATTGACCTCCTTACGCGGCGGGTCGAACAACTGTTCATGCGTGCCAAGATCAAAAGTGAACAGTTCGAATATTTGTGGGTTCCTTTATTCAACAAATGTATTTTTTTTCATTTGTCCTTGGAGTCATGACACCAGGTGTTCAACACGAAGCAGGTGGCCATGACCTGAATTTGCTTCGGACCATGTGGTGTATTGCGTGCTGAGTGTATTCAGTAACTATATACCTGACATATACCTGAAGTTACACGCACCTTGCACCTAACCCGGTTGATACATGATGTTTGTCGGACCAAAATGTCGACTTATGTGTTCTATAAATTAATGATACGACCTCGGGTCAGTGACTGCTGAGCTGATGTTTAGTAATTAATGCTGTTAATTCTTCACACGTTGCGATCAAGGGGATCAAACATACCAATGAGTGCGTGAGTCGATTACCCATATTCCGTGTACATTCTCGCCTGAAGGTCACCAGCTGGTTCAAGCATGTATCAACAATGTTTTTGTTTTTTTCATATCTACGGGAAATATGCTGACGTGCTGAAGAAACCTTACCATTTTGAAATTAAAATTACCAAAAATTGAAAATCAGCTGCAATCACCATCCCATGAAAATACATCGCCCAACCGCAAAAATGAGTTTTCCACTTTGAAATCAGGCATGCAATACATGCTTTGTCACCATTTTGTCCAAATATGGTCTGTTTTTCACGCAAAGCGAAAAGATTTAATGCCAAACGGATATAAAACCAATGCAAACGGGTTGTCAGACATTCATTCTATTTAAGTACAACCAACGGAATGGATCGATTAACTTTGAAGTGAAGTGGTGGCAAATCACTATGTTTTCATTTCATGTTACCCAGGTGATTGTCTTAGGTTCAATATTGCTCACATGGCTGTATCAGGCCCCGAACGTCCACCCTCCGTTGAGGCTTGAATACACAGCGGCGAAAAACAACACCAGCACATTTGTTGTGATGTATTCCCCTTGTGTGTTGGTTTGACCGTGGTATTAATATGTTAGTTCCTACCTACTTGATACCAGAAGTATGCGGGTTTGTCTCTGGTATATGCGATCCACCACTACATCGATTTTTTTCGATCTGTCAAAGACGTATTAATATTTCTCTGAAATGGCAAAATATTGTTTCACCTTGATGGTGGTTAACAGTGTGAATATTCAATTGCACGAGTACGTCTAACTCTGTACGAATGTATAGACGCTGGTTGTGTTCCTCTGTTCCTGCTTCACCTAACATGACTGGCACTACACATCCTCGATGGGGGAGGGGAGCTAACATGACTGGCACTACACATCCTCGACGTGGGAGGGAGCTAACATGACTGGCACTACACATCCTCGACGGGGGAGGGAGCTAACATGACTGGCACTACACATCCTCGATGGGGGAGGGAAGCTAACATGACTGGCACTACACATCCTCGATGGGGAGGGAGCTAACATGACTGGCACTACACATCCTCGATGGGGAGGGAACTAACATGACTGGCACTACACATCCTCGATGGGGAGGGGAAGCTAACATGACTGGCACCACACATCCTCGATGGGGAGGGAAGCTAACATGACTGGCACCACACATCCTCGATGGGGAGGGAAGCTAACATGACTGGCACTACATCCTCGATGGGGAGGGAAGCTAACATGACTGGCACCACACATCCTCGATGGGGAGGGAAGCTAACATGACTGGCACTACACATCCTCGATGGGGAGGGAAGCTAACATGACTGGCACCACACATCCTCGATGGGGAGGGAAGCTAACATGACTGGCACCACACATCCTCGATGGGGGAGGGAGCTAACATGACTGGCACTACACATCCTCGATGGGGGAGGGGAGCTAACATGACTGACACTACACATCCTCGATGGGGAGGGAGCTAACATGACTGGCACTACACATCCTCGATGGGGAGGGAGCTAACATGACTGGCACCACACATCTTCGAGGGGGAGCTAACATGACTGGCACTACACATCCTCGACGTGGGAGGAGCTAACATGACTGGCACCACACATCTTCGAGGTGGGGGAGCTAACATGACTGGCACCTACATCCTCGATGGGGAGGAGCTAACATGACTGGCACTACACATCCTCGATGGGGAGGGGAGCTAACATGACTGGCACTACACATCCTCGATGGGGGAGGGAAGCTAACATAACTGGCACTACACATCCTCGATGGGGAGGGAGCTAACATGACTGGCACCACACATCCTCGATGGGGAGGGAGCTAACATGACTGGCACTACACATCCTCGATGGGGAGGGAAGCTAACATGACTGGCACTACACATCCTCGATGGGGAGGGAGCTAACATGACTGGCACTACCCATCCTCGATGGGGAGGGAGCTAACATGACTGGCACTACACATCCTCGATGGGGAGGGAGCTAACATGACTGGCACCACACATCCTCGATGGGGAGGGAAGCTAACATGACTGGCACCACACATCCTCGATGGGGAGGGAAGCTAACATGACTGGCACTACACATCCTCGATGGGGAGGGAAGCTAACATGACTGGCACCACACATCCTCGATGGGGAGGGAAGCTAACATGACTGGCACTACACATCCTCGATGGGGGAGGGAAGCTAACATGACTGGCACCACACATCCTCGATGGGGAGGGAAGCTAACATGACTGGCACCACACATCCTCGATGGGGAGGGAGCTAACATGACTGGCACTACACATCCTCGATGGGGAGGGGAGCTAACATGACTGACACTACACATCCTCGATGGGGGAGGAGCTAACATGACTGGCACTACACATCCTCGATGGGGGGAGGGGAGCTAACATGACTGGCACTACACATCCTCGATCTTCGAGGGGGAGCTAACATGACTGACTGGCACTACACACACATCCTCCTCGACATCCTCGACGTGGATGAGGGAGCTAACATGACTGGCACCACACATCTTCGAGGGGAGCTAACGACTGACTGGCACTACATCCTCGATGGGGAGGGAGCTAACATGACTGGCACTACACATCTTCGAGGGGGGGGGCAGCTAACATGACTGGCACTACACATCCTCGATGGGGGAGGGGCGATGGGTGATTGTTGACAGATCAGACAGCTAACGTTGAATGGTTACAATGCCTATTCCACCCTATTGGTTTGTTGTATGCTACACAGGTACAAGGTGCTTGAGATTACGAGCGGTTTGGACCAGATAGGCGGCATCAGATGGCCATTAGCAGGTTTCCTCGCAGTCGCCATCCTGGCAGCATTCCTCAGCGTCCTGTGGGGGATCAAAGTATCGGGGAAGGTGAGCGTCGTATTCACGTACCCTGTAGTTCCAGGGATGTGTCCACAACATTTCATCTCTATTCTCAACAGGCAGCTAGATTGGGAGCCAGCTGGGAATCTGTAGTCTTTAGGTTGTTCCTTGATTACAGTGGTTTATCTAGCTGAGGATTTAGACAACGGTAGACAATAGCGGATGATAAAAATGCTCAGTGGACGATCATCCAACATGTGCAAGTGTCGGTTCAGACCAGTACATACAGTCGTTGAGACTCTGACCGGTTCATGACAAAGGATCTAAGTGGGTCCTATTTGAAGCCAGGCCACGACACGGAGGTTTCAACCACACCTCGGCGTCCACGTAGCGTGGCAAATGAAGAAGCTGGTGTGCTATCAAAATAGGTTTAGGTTGAATCCTGATAGATGTGAGTGAAGACGTTTCATTGAATAGAACTTAGTGTCAGTGTCAGTGTCATTGCCACGTGTAGCATACCTATACCTGTGTCATCAATATATATAGTATACCTGTGTCATCAATATATATATAGTATACCTGTATCATCAGTATATATAGTATACCTGTGTCATCAATATATATAGTATACCTGTATCATCAATATATATAGTATACCGGTATCATCAGTATATATAGTATACCTGTGTCATCAATATTTATAGTATACCTGTATCATCAATATATATAGTATACCTGTATCATCACTACATGTGGTATACCTGTATCATCACTACGTATGGTATAAATTTATCATCACTGCGTGCAGTATACCTGTATATTTCGTACGTATAGGATACCTCTGACATCACTACATGTTGGATATCATCTCTTTTTCTGTAGATTGTGTACATCACCGTCAGCGTCCCGTACATCCTCAACACCGTCTTCCTCATCCGGGGCTGCCTACTTCCAGGATCCGCTGACGGGATCTATTATTATATATATCCCAACTTCGAGAAGCTGTTGTACCCAAGAGTAAAACTAGAATCCACATTTTGTATCGACTATCATAAGCTAAGAAAACAATACTAGTAAATAGCGGTTTGTGGCGGGGATGGCCGTTTGAGAAAACATCTTCAGGAATGTCTCATCTTCCATATAAATCAACATGTAAACAAATTCTAGGTGTAAAAAATGCGCTTAACAATGCGTTTTTAATTCTATCCTGCGAGAATTCGTGGTAGGACTAAAGGCTCCACTCAGGCTCAATCACCCGACTGCCCACATACAGCTGGCATATTGCGGTGTTCGGAGACAAAAAAATCAAATATCGATTGAGAGATAATCAAAACACAGTTGGGAACACACCAGGATATGGAGTCTATGTAATGTTATATACTCTTACAAAACTAGGGGATACTCAGAAATAGTTGAAGATTTCCAAAACCGTAAGAGTTTCTAATAAATGTTGTATGACAATAATGAACGAATTAGATACACACCGGTAGACAGAATGAGTACAACCGGTTTGAAGGGTCCTGGGAGTATGATGGGAAAGGATATCCGGGTGTTGTCCACTTGCACAATCTGGAACGGGATTCGCTCAGTCACGGTGATGACACCACACCCGACCCCCGCTAAGTCTGCCATGAGGTCTCAGGTTGACATCGACTTGGCATACTTCTCGACGTTGCAAGACACCACACCTTACGCACGCTATTACGTGCTGCACGTGTAAACTGTTCAGTTATAAATAGCTGCCACAGACATAAACATTCTCGAATAGGATGTTTACAGTTATTTGCTGTCATTCTTCTTTCTTCTGACCAGTGGTATTAGCATGTATTTGTCATGATCCCCTACTTTGTAAGAGTATGTGTTGTGCAGTATAATGTAATCACTGTTAATGTGTCTTTGTTGTTCCTATAGGTATGGTTGGAGGCCTGTGCCTATTCCCTGTTTTCAATGGGTATTGGCATGGGCTGTATCATAACGATGTCAGGCCACAACAAATTTAACAATAACTGCCTCAGGTACGGAAACACTTCACATATGTTGACACTTGTTTAAGCCGGACGATTCTTTGTCAGACAATGTGGCAATGGGAGATGCATGCACAATGTACATGATGACGTGTTGTGAGTGTGGAGTTGCTATGATACTTCATCACTGACAGACAGGCAACAGGTCAGCTGGTACTTAAACATGTGATTTCTAAAGATCTTGCTGACAACTCAGGGAGGGGATCGGTTGTGTTTCAATCTGACAATGTCCTTGGTGATGTGGCTGGAATATGGCTGAACGCAGCAGTGTAATCTTACCGAAGTATACATATCGTCAAAAGTATCGCAACACGAAATTTGAAGCGTAATTGAGTTCACTTTCAATATGGTGACCTGAATCCAATCGAACACCTAAGAGCCAGGGAAATCCAGTACATCTCAATCGTCTGATCCTGACATTGCATGGGGAGCAACAACACATCCTTCTGTTAGGGGTCGTCGGTGTGTGAGCAGATGTGAGTCGTGTACGGGGTGGTCTCGCCAGACATTGTCATGTCATTTAACTGTGTCATGGGTACAGCGTTACTAAGTCACGCACGTGGGCACCTGTTCATGTCATTCCGCACAGTTCACATGCTTACACTTCCTCCACCTGTCCTTGAAGTCGCCGGTGAATGAAGTTGCTGTGTATGCATGCATCTTGATCAGAACCTGTATAGAACCTGTATCGAACTTGTATCGAACTTTACAGAACTTTACCATGTGTTCTAGGGACTCAATAGTCATGTGCCTGGTGGACGCCATAAGCTGCATCTACGTCGGTTTCTCCGTGTTTGCTATTATCGGCCATGTGGCCCACCAGCGAGGCTTGACCGTGGAGGACTTCCAGTCATCAGGTACGCTATACCATGTGCTTTCTATGTGAATAAAAGAAAATAATGTGCTGTGCACACGCTCTCAAAGCATAAAGGTTATTATATAAGTAATTTCAGAATAAGGGTGAATAAAGAGTTGTAAGGACATCCAGGGGAAGGCAGGATGATCCGTGTGTCCAGCCAATATCCTCACTCCCTGTAGCCGTTGAACGTCCACACCGAGGGTAAAGGTAGGTACATCTAGCAAGGTAACATTACGTCAATACGCATCCCTAGTGTACATGTATACCCCGTGTCATAGTCATACTACATGTCGCATGCACATTTCCTACACACTAGTGTCTAGAGTCAATCTTTAAAGTATATCAATATTTACTGTGAAACCCCGTTAAACTGGACGGTGACGTACAAGATTAAATCAAAGTAAACTGCAGATTGCTGATTGCTATGAATCAGGTCTATGTGTTCATGTAAGCGTTGCCTGCACGGTCTGGATTAACGAGGGTTCAGTGTGTAACCAGAAGCATGACCACGTGTAGAAATACTGCCCATGTCACATGTGTTTCTCTTGACAGTCCTCCAGTGATTGTCGTAAAGGGTGATGACATATAGAGGATCCTCTGGCCAACATGGCTGCCAGAATGATTAGTATATTATGGTCGGTCTGAAAGTAACATCTACTCACCGCTGCCACCTCGATGAGTGTGTGTCGTTGCCCCCGTTATGACCGAGGTGTACAAGGGTTGGCTTAAAGGTAATGGGCCTAACTGTGTAGTGTATAGTACGTAATTAACAGTTTCCATGCGTCAAGTACAATTCTTCCCACGCTTGAGGTATGCGTTTAAAACATACACAATCAATCAGCACATTTCTGTAGGCATGAAAGTGCCTGGGAATGCTCTAGTGATATTTGGTGGCGTGGGTGGAGATGCGAGAACCACGTGACGTGGATGACAGGTCACATGGTAAGTACACATTTCTCATGAGAGAGGGACAAAACTTTACATTAAAACTTCATCAGATCTCGTGAGAAACAAACACAGCATATTTTGTTGCTAGATTTGTAACCATGGAGCACAGTGGTTCTCCACTATCCACCAGTGGTTCTCCACTATCAATCAGTGGTCCTCCACTATCAATCAGTGGTTCTCCACTATCCACCAGTGGTCCTCCACTATCCATCGGTGGTTCTCCACTATCCATCAGTGGTTCTCCACTATCCATCAGTGGTCTCAGTGGTTCTCCACTATCCACCAGTGGTTCTCCACTATCCCATCAGTGGTTCTCCACTATCCATCAGTGGTTCTCCACTATCCACCAGTGGTCCTCCACTATCCATCGGTGGTTCTCCACTATCCATCAGTGGTTCTCCACTATCCATCAGTGGTCCTCCACTATCCATCAGTGGTTCTCCACTATCCATCAGTGGTTCTCCACTATCCACCAGTGGTCCTCCACTATCCATCAGTGGTTCTCCACTATCCATCAGAGGTTCTCCACTATCCACCAGTGGTCCTCAACTATCCATCAGTGGTTCTCCACTATCCATCAGAGGTTCTCCACTATCCACCAGTGGTCCTCAACTATCCATCAGTGGTTTCCCGCTATCCACCAGTGGTGTTCTACTATCCACCAGTTGTTCTCAATTATCATCCACTAATATCCACCAATAATATCCACCAATGGTTCACTACTATCCATCAGAGGTTTTCCACTATCCACCAGTGGTTCTCCACTGTCCACCTGTGGTTCACCACTATCCATCAGTGGTTCTCCACTATTCACCAGTGGTTCACTACTATCCACCAGTGGTTCTCCACTGTCCACCAGTGGTTTTCCACTATCCGCCAGTGGTTCTCCACTATCCACCAGTGGTCCTCAACTTGATCCATCAGTGGTTCTCCACTATCAATCAGTGGTTCTCCACTATCCACCAGTGGTTTATGTGGACAAACCATTGATAGCCAAGATTATGCTGGCCTCCTACTATCCAGCTGTGTGACAGAAGTCCACCTGTGGTTCTCCACTGTCCACCAGTAAGTAACGACATGTGACAGAAGTTAGTGAGGACACGTGACAGCAGTAAGTGACGACAAGTGACAGCAGTAAGTGACGACATTTCACGGCAGTGAGTGATGACATGTGACAGAAGTTAGTGAGGACATGTGACAGCAGTAAGTGACGACAAGTGACAGCAGTAAGTGACGACATGTCACGGCAGTGAGTGACAGGAATAATGATGACAGTGTTAGTAAGTGAGGACATGTGACAGCAGTAAGTGACGACATGTCACGGCAGTGAGTGAGGACATGTGACAGCAGTAAGTGACGACATGTGACAGCAGTGAGTGACATGTGACAGCAGTGAGTGATGACATGTGACAGCAGTAAGTGATGACATGTGACAGCAGTAAGTGATGATATGGGACATCAGTGAGTGATGACATGTGACAGCAGTAAGTGACATGTGACAGCAGTGAGTGACGACATGGGACAGCAGTGAGTGATGACATGTGACAGCAGTAAGTGACGACATGTGACGGCAGAAAGTGACTACATGTGACAGCAGTGAGTGATGACATGTAACAGCAGTAAGTGACGACATGTGACGGCAGTGAGTTACGACATGTGACAGCAGTGAGTGATGACATGTGACAGCAGTGGGTGACATGTGACATCAGAGAGTGATGACATGTGACATCAGTGAGTGATGACAAGTGACAGCAGTGAGTGATGACATGTGATAGGAGTGAGTGATGACATGTGACAGCAGTGAATGACGACATGTGACGGCAGTGAGTGATGACATGTGAGAGCATGTGACAACATTAAGACTAATCTGTTGTCAGTCGCAATGCATAACTGTGGCGTTGAGGTCCGTATTTACATTCCCCGATTTTGGCTACGTTTGAAACGTAAAGAAATTTCTCAAAATTCATATCACCAGAAGGGAATTCTCGACCATTGTGTTTAGGTACACGAGTACCGATGGCAGAAGTGGGTGGACCTCGGTGGAACTGAGCTGAAATTTAATGAGCAACCAACTAACAACATAACGTGGTACACCATGGTTAGGTTCAGAGCTTTTCAGCCACCCTTCGTATGGCGTCATGCCGCAGTGTAACGTACACCGCGAGATGTCATGCCACAGTGATGTCATGCCGCAGTGTAACGCACCGCGAGATTCATGCCACAGTGATGTCATGCCACAGTGTAACGTGCGAGATGTCATGCCACAGTGATGTCATGTAACGTACACCGCGAGATGTCATGCCACAGTGATGTCATGCCACAGTGTAACGTACACCGCGAGATGTCATGCCACAGTGATGTCATGCCGCAGTGTAACGTACACCGCGAGATGTCATGCCACAGTGGCGTCATGCCCCGGGATGACGTAGCCAGATGTTTTAAGTGTAGCACTTATTAAGCAGTAAAATCTCATAGATTCTCACCAGCTCCTGCTCTTGTCAGTCCGTTCTTCATCATGTAAATGAGGCTGTTGGTGACGACAACAGCGGGTGATGACGGTAGTGGGTAGGTAATGAGAGCGTTGGGTGATGACAATAAATAGTGACGACAGCAGCAGGTGATGACAGTAGTTGGTGATGACAACAATAGGTGTTGACAGCAGTGGGTGATGACCGTAGTGGGTGGTGACAGCAGTAGGTGGTGACAGCAGTGGGTGGTGACAGCAGTAAGTGATGACATCAGTAGGTGATGACAGCAGTAGGTGATGACCGTAGTGGGTGGTGACAGCAGTGGGTGATGACAGCAGTAGGTGATGACAGCAGTAGGTGATGACAGCAGTAGGTGGTGACAGCAGTGAGTGATGACAGCAGTAAGTGATGACAGCAGTAGGTGATGACAGCAGTAGGTGACGACAGCAGTGGGTGATGACAGCAGTGGGTGACGACAGCAGTAGGTGATGACAGCAGTAGGTGACGACAGCAGTGGGTGTTGACAGCAGTGGATGGTGACAGCAGTGGGTGACGACAGCAGTAAGTGATGACAGCAGTAGGTGGTGACAGCAGTGGGTGATGACAGCATTAGGTGATGACAGCAGTGGGTGATGAGAGCAGTAGGTGACGACAACAGTGGGTGATGACAGCAGTAGGTGATGACAGCAGTAGGTGATGACAGCAGTTGGTGACGACAGCAGTGGGTGATGACAGCAGTGGGTGACGACAGCAGTAGGTGACGACAGCAGTAAGTGACGACAACAATGGGTGACGACAGCAGTGGGTGATGACAGCAGTGGGTGATGACAGCAGTGGGTGATGAGAGCAGTAGGGCCACAACAGGGGACGACAGCAGTGGGTGATGACAGCAGTAGGTGATGACAGCAGTAATGACAGCAGTGACGAAGTGACGGCAACAGTGGGTGACGACGGCAGTGGGTGATGACAGCAGTGGTTGATGACAGCAGTGGGTGATGAGAGCAGTAGGTTACGACAACAATGGGTGATTTCAGCATTAGACAGCAGTTGGTGATGACAGCAGTAGGTGACGACAAAAGTGGGTGATGACAGCAGTAGGTGATGACAGCAGTAAATGACGACAACAGTGGGTAACGACAGCAGTGGGTGATGACAGCAGTGGTTGATGACAGCAGTGGGTGATGAGAGCAGTAGGTGACGACAACAGTGTGTGACGACAGCAGTGACGACAGCAGTAAGTGACGACAGCAGTGGGTGATGAGAGCAGTAGGTGACGACAGTAGTGTGTGATGACAGCAGTGGGTGATGACAGCAGTGGGTGATGACAGCAGTTGGTGGTGACAGCAGTAAGTGACGACAGGTGTGGAGGGTGACAGTTATAAGTGACGACAGCAGTGGGTGATGACAGCAGTAAGTGATGTAACGTACACCGCGAGATGTCATGCCACAGTGATGTCGAGTCATGCCCCGGGATTACGTAGCCAGATGTTTGAAGTGTAACACATATTAAGCAGTAAAACCTCATGCATTAACCAGCTCCTGCTCTTGTCAGTCCATTCTTCATCATATAAATGAGGCTGTGGGTGACGACAACAGCGGGTAATGACGGTAGTGGGTAGGTAATGAGAGCGTTGGGTGATGACAATAAAAAATGACGACAGCAGCAGGTGATGACACTAGTTGGTGATGACAACAGTAGGTGGTGATAGCAGTGGGTGATGGCAGCAGTAAGTGATGACAGCAGTTGGTGATGACAGCAGTAAGTGATAACAGCAATAGGTGATGACAGCAGTGGGTGATGACAGTAGTGGGTGATGACAGTAGTGGGTGATGACAGCAGTGGGTGATGAGTGAGTGAGACAGCAGTGGTTGGTGGGTGATGACAGCAGTGGGTGATGACAGCAGTGGGTGATGACAGCAGTAAGTGATGACAGCAGTGGGTGATGACAGCAGTAGGTGATGACAGCAATGGGTGATGACAGCAGTGGGTGATGACAGTAGTGGGTGATGACAGTAGTGGGTGATGACAGCAGTGGGTGATGACAGCAGTAAGTGACAAAAACTGACAGAAGGTGATGACAGTTATAAGTGACGACTGCAGTGGGTGAGGACAGCAGTAAGTGATGACAGCAGTTGGGATGATGACAGTAGTGGGTGATGACAGTAGTGGGTGATGACAGCAGTGGGTGATGAGAGCAGTAAGTGACGACAGCAGTGAGTGATGACAGCAGTGGGTGATGACAGTAGTGGGTGATGACAGCAGTGGGTGGTTTGAGCAGTAAGTGACGACAGCAGTGAGTGATGACAGCAGTGGGTGATGACAGTAGTGGGTGATGACAGCAGTGGGTGATGACAGTAGTGGGTGATGACAGCAGTGAGTGATGACAGCAGTGAGTGATGACAGCAGTGGGTGATGACAGCAGTGGGTGACGACAGCAGTGAGTGATGACAGCAGTGGGTGATGACAGTAGTGGGTGATGACAGCAGTGGGTGGTTTGAGCAGTAAGTGACGACAGCAGTGAGTGATGACAGCAGTGGGTGGTTTGAGCAGTAAGTGACGACAGCAGTGAGTGATGACAGCAGTGGGTGATGACAGTAGTGGGTGATGACAGCAGTGGGTGGTTTGAGCAGTAATGGACGACAGCAGTGAGTGATGACAGCACTAAGTGACGACAGCAGTGAGTGATGACAGCAGTGGGTGATGACAGTAGTGAGTGATGACAGCAGTGAGTGATGGCAGCAGTGGGTGATGACAGCAGTGGGTGGTTTGAGCAGTAAGTGACGACAGCAGTGAGTGATGACAGCACTAAGTGACGACAACAGTGAGTGATGACAGCAGTGGGTGATGACAGCAGTGGTGATGACAGCAGTGAGTGATGACAGCAGTGAGTGATGACAGCAGTGTGTGTTGACAGTAGTGAGTGATGACAGCAGTGAGTGATGGCAGCAGTGGGTGATGACAGCAGTGAGTGATGACAGCAGTGGGTGATGACAGTAGTGGGTGGTGACAGCAGTGGATGTTTTGAGCAGTAAGTGCTTGCTTCGACCACACCTCCGTTATGTGGGGATATATCGTCAGCCATTTGTGTCAAGATCGTTTAGTTGAGAGTCAAAATCGGGTTTCAATAGACTTGCAGAAATAACAATTAAGAATTGGTAGGTGACATCAGTGGTGCTCGATAGGCCAATCATCCATGATTATGTTTCCATTAAGTTTTAATTGATTGCATGCGATTGTAGCGTAGCGATCGGCAAAGCAGTCGGGTGGGGTGCACTGAAGTGTCTGGCCTTGTCATAATGTATTATGCTGTGAAGCATTTCGAGTCGGGGATCATCTCAAACTTTTGTATATATTTTATAAAATCTTTAATCCTCGCAAAGACACGAGGGCCTGTGATATAGATATAATAGTTTTAACGTAGTTGCCCGCGGTGATGTAGCTGGGATAGTGCCGAAAGTATCGCAAAACCATCTCAGTCGGTCCCTGTTGTTGTCTATTGATGTAATCATGAGTACATTCAATATGTTTGCTCTAAATAGAGGCACACGTCAACTGAATAATTCACTTTCTAATTGAGTAGGACTGTAAAACACTCTCCTATATGTGATCTATCAGTGTAGTGATTTCCTCACAAATTAACGAGAAATCAAGTTATATAAATGCCAACAGTCAACACAATCTATATCCTTCCACTAACATGCACAGCAGGTTCTGCTGTTTTGCACCTCCGTAAAAACGTGACAACTATTACAGAATGTTCCGACTTTACACAGCACATTACTGCACAACAATGAGTCTAACTGGTGTTTTTCTTCTTTCCAGGGTTCAACCTGGCCTTCATAGTGTTCCCGGAGGTCGTGTCTGCTCTTCCCCTGCCACAGCTGTGGTCGGCCTTCACCTTCATCATGCTGGTTCTACTGCTGATCGATACCCTGGTAAAACATGCCCACTGCCATTGTCAGATTAGCGTCAGTTACATGGAACCTAGTCCAGTTGTGTTAGGCCGAGAGGTGTAAAACATGCCCACTGCCATTGTCAGATTAGCGTCAGTTACATGGAACCTAGTCAAGTTTTTTTGGGCCGAGAGGTGTAAAACATACCCACTGCCATTGTCAGATTAGCGTCTGTTACATGGAACCTAGTCCAGTTTTGTTAGGCCGAGAGGTGTAAAACATGCCCACTGCCATTGTCAGATTAGCGTCAGTTACATGGAACCTAGTCCAGTTTTGTTAGGCCGAGAGGTGTAAAACATGCCCACTGCCATTGTCAGATTAGCGTCAGTTACATGGAACCTAGTCCAGTTTTGTTGGGCCGAGAGGTGTAAAACTATGCCCATTATTCTATATTCACATGACTGGTACGAGAATACCATCAAGACATGTTTGACCGGTGTATATTATGCAATACTGTCTACTTCCAGATACCTACGTATGAGATGGTGGTGACCGCCCTGACAGACCAAGTACCCAGCCTTGCACGGAGACGTTGGCTGGCAACCGTGCTGGTTCTGTCAGCTTCCGGCCTCGTGTCTCTGGTGTATGTGTCCCAGGTACGAAGTTCCACTGTGTTGTGCCTGGTGTGTCGTATCTTGCTCCAAATACTTGATTCAGACATGCATATACATTTTCATCACGTGAGTGAAATGGACTTTTACGACTAAGAAACCCTCCCCACATACAATGCAAGAAATTATTAAGTCTATCCTTAGACATGTACACAATGTAAGGAATGATTAACCTAGACATGTAGATGCAAGAGTAAGTCTATCCTTAGACATGTACACAATGTAAGGACTGATTAAGCCTACACTTAGACATGTACACAATGTAAGGACGGATTAAGCCTACACTTAGACATTTACACAATGTAAGGAATAATTAAGCCTACCCTTAGACATGTACACAATGTGAGGAATAATTAAGGCTACCCTTAGACATGTACACAATGTAAGGACTGATTAAGCCTAAACTTAGACATGTACACAATGTGAGGAATAATTAAGCCTAAACTTAGACATGTACACAATGCAAGGAATTATTAAGCCTACAGACATATTATTAATAAAGAAGTTTTATATCCATAGAACTCTCCCCGTAGAGGAATCCAGCTGTTCATGAGGCGGAACCAAATATACACACAAGGGAATCTCTTTCAACCTGATACTTGAATCCACAAATCATTGGCTTCCATCACGTCTAAGGGGCCCAACTCTTAACATCTTAACTATTTAACGTCTATGGTCCTTATTTGGAGGGAGGAATCAGTAAACCACGCCAGAAATGGGCTTCACACATTGTACCCATGTGGGGACTCGAACCCGGGTCTATGGCGTGACGAGCGAAGTGGACCTTCACACAGCATGAACTTAACATGTCTTTTCCTTTCTTGTAGGGAGGGATCTATGTGATCACATTGGTGGACTGGTATGCAACATTCCCATCTTTAGCCCTGTTTGCCACAATGGAGTGCATAGCCATTAGCTGGTGTTACGGTATGTCTCGACCATAATCCACTCCGAATATTGCCATTATTATCCATTCTGGATATCACCGCCATAATCCTCTCCATACTCCAAGTATTACCGCCATAATCCTCTCCATACTCCAAGTATCACTGCCCTCTCCATACACCAGGTATTACCGCCATAATCCTCTCCAAGCAGTGTTTGCCCAAACTCTGAAAAGCTGCAGGCCCTAAGGACCCAGAACCATAAAACGTTGTGGGTCCTGATCAGAATGTGTAGGCCGTATATTTTACCTACAATATAAGTAATTCCCAGCAAACACAAAAGATGTGACAACTAACAAACTGAGTTAATGAGTTTTATTTAACTTTAGTGACTGGCTAGTCTTTACAATGCATTCGGATACCTTGTTCGAGGTTAAAAGATCATATCTCAGTAACCTAATTGCTTCCTCGAAAATGATAGTCGTTTCACTTACAGACAACAGCTGCTGATCGAGATAAAAGCTAGAAATTACTAAATGATTTTTTTTGAAAAATCTTTTTGGGGATGAAAAAGCTGTCGGCCATAAGGACCTGCAGAAAACAAAGCTTGTGGGTCCGAGTGGTTTTCAGTCGGTTTCGGGCCTAAGGACCGACGTTATTACCACCATAATCCAGTATTACCACCATAATCCATTCCGGATATTACCAACATAATCCTCTCCCAATATTGCCACCATAATCCATTCCGGGTATTTACCACCATGATTCACTCAGGATATTAACACCATGATCAATTCCGGATTTTACCACCATAATCCACAATAATGTTGGATATTACCTACATATTTATGAGATAAATATACTACGCGTTCGGTTTTATATCAAATTTAGAGCTATTATAATTTCGTGATATATACCTCTGATTTTCCAACACAGTATGTTTATATCCATTCTATCATACGATTAAAAAAATACATACTGAGTTGGAAAATCAGAGGTTTATAATGTGATTACATGTATACACATCTGAATGACTTTAATTAACCAATCACAATCCAGTATTTTCACTGAAGTCATGGTGGAATGTGTGTTGTCTGAGTGTACGGTACACATGTACTCTGGTGTGTACTGGATGGATGTACGAGACTGACTATATTGCAGGCACAAAGCGGCTGGAAGACGACATAGCCAATATGTGGGGTCGCGCCATTCCTCGACACATCAGCTTCTGCTTACGATACATTTCACCAACTCTCCTTCTGGTAAATATAGCTACACGAAATGGTTCTCGGTGTACATGGCACCTTCAACCTCACCAGTGAGGATGTCAATATGCTTATGTTTGTCTCTAGAGTCGACTCACACGGTGAACGGAGAGTTGCAGTGTCTCACAGAGAGGCAGATGCTTGTCATGGTAATATTTGTCACTAAAGGTCGAAACCTTCTCATATATTATTGTTCCCGTGAGCTTACCTTTAACTGAAATGTTTGAGTAGGTATGGATTCAATGGATTTTTACAGATAGTAGAAGAAAATATGTATACGGTTGTTTCTGAGAACCAGACTTACTGATGGATTATATGCTGTGTTTGCAGACTGTGTTTGGCTTCTCGCTGTATTCATATCGCCCCCCACGGTACGGTGACTACACATTCCCTGACTGGGCGACACTTGTGGGCTGGATGATCTCGGGGGCCTCCATACTGCCCTTCCCGGTCTTCTTCATATGGACGGTGTACCGAACACACGGCGACACGATAAAGGAGGTAATGTGTAGTAGGTGCTGCACAGGGCGGTGTACCGAACACACGGCGACACGATACAGGAGGTAATGTGTAGTAGGTGCTGCACAGGGCGGTGTACCGAACACACGGCGACACGATAAAGGAGGTAATGTGTAGTAGGTGCTGCACAGGGCGGTGTACCGAACACACGGCGACACGATACAGGAGGTAATGTGTAGTAGGTGCTGCACAGGGCGGTGTACCGAACACACGGCGACACGATACAGGAGGTAATGTGTAGTAGGTGCTGCACAGGGCGGTGTACCGAACACACGGCGACACGATACAGCAGGTAATGTTTAGTAGGTGCTGCGCAGGGCGGTGTACCGAACACACGACGACACGATACAAGAGGTACATGCTGTCGAGTTGAGGAGTCAGAGGACACGTACTATGCCAAGCATTATTTTCAAGTACAGTCAGCCTACTTATGCCTAATTTATGTATTTTAAGGATATGAAATGTTGTGACATATAGGTATAACGATGTAGTCTTCTAAGGAGAAATATTAACTTTTTCCAGAAATTCCAAAAGGCACTGAAACCGAGTCAGAAGTGGGGTTGTCAAGACGAGCTGGCCACTGATGGCCCGGAAGTCCTCCAAACTATGATGAACACCAAGATCTGATATGATGAACACCAAGATCTGATGGGGACTCCTCATTGTATCACACACCGTCGTATGCTGCTGGATAACTACCGTCAATTACAGTCTATGCACTTTCTCCTATCGGCGAACGATGTTTCAAGATCAAATCCTATGCCAACTTTATGTCTGTGTTCATAGTTGTGCATTTACATTTACATGCTTAGATGGGACATTACGTAACCAAAATTCAATCATTTAGCGTATGGATGGTTAAAGTTTCATGCTATTGATAGCGAAGGAGAACCCAGGACTATTTATATTTGACTGTCACTCGGCCAAGCTTTTAACGTTTTGAGATGAGATTGAAACTGTTATATACTAACCGTCATATAAGCACTGGTATGATCGATCTATGTGTTAGCACTACTACACTGCTTTAATGCATTCATTCTTCACGTCCAAGTTCTGGATTCGAGTACCTCGCACAGTTATATAAAGCCAATGTTTCGTGCTCCCGTCGTGATGTTGCTGGAATATTGTAAAGGCGACGTAAAGCCGTGCCCTCCCTGTATTGTCCTGTCTCCGTCTCTGTGCAGATCACTGGGTGAACCCAGGTTTCATCGAGGATATACATTTCTGTATAACAGAAACGCGCATAATAAGGTTGGAAGTTCTTTCATGATCTCACGTGGTTTGAGCTTTCTATGCAACTTAGTCTTGAGAATTGCACCACTCCCAGTCAACCGAGCGTTCGACTCTGACCGACATATTGTTGATTATTTAAGTAGATGTGAGCTATCCATAGTAATAATAATAATAATAATAATAATAATAATAATAGTTCATTTATAAAGCGCATATTTCCATGCACAATGCATGCTCAAAGCGCTGATGTCAGGACGAAAAGGCTTTTTGGAAAAGGTGGGTCTTTAGCGATGTTCGAAAGGTTGAAAGTTCTGTCATTTCTCTCAAATGTTGTGGGAGATGATTCCATTCTGAGGCTGCAGCATAAGAGAAAGTTCTTTGACCAAATTTAACTGTTCTGACTTTAGAAATACACAGAAGATTATGTTTCTCGGAGCGGAGGGATCTTGTTGGTTTGTATGGAGAAAGGAGGTCGGACAGATATTGAGGTGCACTTCCAGAGAGACATCTGAAGGCGAGAATGCAGAGTTTAAAAGTGATGCGCTGTGGAATGGGCAACCAGTGGAGGTCCTGTTTTGGTCACGTAGTTTCCTAACGAATCGAGCAACACCTCTCCTCCGTCAATCTTCCTCAAATTATAAAAACAATGCTTTCCATTGTCAGACATCTAACTCCGCTACGTTACCTCGTTGTATAAAGATGTGACGACAGTCTACAGAATATTCTGGATGGCATCGAATTACATGGATATGAAAGCGAAGCACGTACAGTGCCTTGTGCTCCCTAAATAGTGTGTACATAAGTTGGAACTGTATTGATTTAGGGTATGAGCATCGTGGACTTCCTGTGCCGTCGGAAGACCTTCGCTGTCAGACTGTGGGGAACCTGTTGTGGGGTTTGTATTTTTATATGGGTTGACCTGGGGAGAGAGGCGTCTATCTTAACAGCCATTGTTACTAACTGCCATGAAATAGGCAGCCATTGTTGATACGTCAGGTAACTGAGAAGTTGTCCTTCAATGGGATCATCTGTCATATATACACTGAAATGAAATTATCCGAAACCTCGTCAACACTTTTCTTGTCATTCTAGATTTCTTCAGTGTTAGCTTCGGTAAATAAAGAAGTACTCCAGGCTCTGTGACTGCGATATCACCCTCGATATATGGAAACATTCATGTGAAATACCACTCGCTAATTAATGTACGTGATCATGCTCAAATGGTGTGCTTCATTTTCCCCTACATGAGTTCCCTGACTCTAGCAGTGAGTCATACACATCGGCCTAGGACATATGCTACTCTATCGCTAAGGATCGCCGGGTAATCTTCCAGCATCTGTTGTAATAACCAGAGGCAATATTGTGTAAAGACATGTTTAATGAAGTCCGTTGTCAATGAAAATATACAACATCTAACCAATAATCGGATCATCCGTCAAAATTGTTTGATAATGATCCTTTGCAAACCTTGAGTGGTATGGGCGGAAACGTACCGTGCAGTCCTTATCGCTCCCCAGTCCTTATCTTATCGACAAGCATGTCAATAGAAACAATTGATAGTAAACCAATGCAGTTGCTCGCTGTTGAACCTAACGTTGGACACGTTCTGAGAACATCCGCTTTTCGTGTTTTTCGGGAAGTAATTGCTGAAACCAAATGTAACACTGCTTGGATCCATTCTACAACGTTACAAGGTGGACATGGCTTTCTCACGTTACAAGGTGGACATGGCTTTCTCACGTTACAAGGTGGACATGTCTTTCTCACGTTACAAGGTGGACATGGCTTTCTCACGGTTCTATTGTACACGAGTTTGACTCTTCTGCATATTGACCATTTTACAAGTGTGTGACCTTCAACTTATACTCGTGTGAGCCTTCTTTGATAAGACGTTTCGAGGTCAACTGAGCCCAACGGATCATTCTTTTTTCGTCCTCTTGTTTCAAAGCAGTTAACGTATTCTATATCTTGTATATCTGTACTGAGCTGACAAACACTGTAGGATTAACACGCAAGTCATTAACCGAGCAGCGTACAAGCTGCTTTACCTTGGATATGGTAACTTGGCACTTCCTGACATGAACAGCAATAAAGTCTGCGAATACATGCACCAACTTTGTTTTTATTACGCCCGAGTACAAGGTTTACATGGTGATGATGATGATAATAACGATGATCTTGAAGCTATAGGAGATACCGTTATATAACATGGCTTCCACGTATTGTGTGTTAACTTGTGTAATAACCTTGCAACGTCAATTTATTGTATCCTCGTAAACCGTACTAAACTTCTACAGTGAGGTGATGATGGTCATTATTATTATTGAGGAGATTTTACCTGCTATTTCCGACATAATGCGTATTTCGCACACGGGACAGTAAGATCCAGTGGGCGACTTTGATGGCCTACGGTTGCTGGCGTCATGAAGATGTGGGTTGTTTTTATCCGGAATTAAGTATTCTTCCACACTACAAAACCCTGTCCATGACGTTGTGTATCGTAATTAATCTTTTGAAGAAGATGAATTCAGTAAAACTTGTAGAAATTCTAGAAGTTCAATAGTGTAGTCACATGTAGATAAAGTGCTGTGCAACAGGAAACAATTGGATGTTCAGATATCCATTCCTGTGGTTGTCACAGTTGTTCCTTCCTGTACAGAACTTGTTTGTGAAGATAGTCAAGTCTGAGATTTCTTTGGCAATGACGTTCTATATCAATCCAAATTTTTAAAAAAAACGTCTGAAAGACAGTCTGAAAATTCAAAAGCTTGGATGGCAATGACGTTCTATATCAAACATTTGTTGTGTGTTTCCTTGTTCGTGACCATCAAAAATGGGAGCTCCCTTTGTGTTCATCTAACATGGGAGTTACCCCTTGTCACAACGGTCATACGAGTCACCTCTCTCCCTGGGTACCCCCCCCCTCCACCCACCTGGGTACGCTACGGTCACACGAGTTACCTCCTTCCCCCCTTTGGGTACGCTACGGTCACACGAGTTACCTCTTTCCCCCTCTGGGTACACCACGGTCAAATGAATGACCTCCCTCATCCCACTGGGTACACTACGGTCATACGAGTGACCTCCCTCCCCCCTCTGGGTACACTACGGTCATACGAGTTACCTCCCCCTCCAGCCCTGGGTACACTATGGTCATACGAGTTACCTCCCTCATCCCTCTGGGTACACTACGGTCATACGAGTTACCTCCCTCATCCCACTGGGTACACTACGGTCATACGAGTTACCTCCCTCCCCCTCAGTACACTACGGTCATACGAGTTACCTCCCTACCCAATCTCTGGGACATACTATGGTCATACGAGTTACCTCCCCTCCAGCCCTTCTGGGTACACTATGGTCATACAGTTACCTCCCCTCCAGCCCTGGGTACACTATGGTCATTAGTTACCTCCCTCCCCCATCTGGGTACACTACGGTCATACGAGTTACCTCCCTCCCCCTCTGGGTACTATGGGTACACTACGGTCATACGAGTTACCTCCCTCATCCCTCTGGGTACACTACGGTCATACGAGTTACCTCCCCCCCAATCTGGGTACACTATGGTCATACGAGTTACCTCCCCCACTCCCACTCTCATACGGTCATATGGTCATACGAGTTACCTCCCTCCCCACACTCTATGGTCATACGTACCTCCTCCCACTACGGTCATACGAGTTACCTCCCTCATCCCTCTGGGTACACTACGGTCATACGAGTTACCTCCCTCCCCACTCTGGGTACACTACGGTCATACGAGTTACCTCCCTCATCCCTCTGGGTACACTACGGTCATACGAGTTACCTCCCTCCCCACTCTGGGTACACTATGGTCATACGAGTTACCTCCCTCCCCACTCTCAGTACACTATGGTCATACGAGTTTCCTCCCTCCCCAATCTGGGTACACTACGGTCATACGAGTTACCTCCCTACCCAATCTGGGTACACTACGGTCATACGAGTTACCTCCCTCCCCACTCTCGGTACACCATGGTCATACGAGTTACCTCCCTCCCAACTCTCAGTACACTACAGTCATACCAGTTACCTCCCTACCCAATCTGGGTAGACTACGGTCATCCGAGTAACCTCCCTCATCCCACTGGGTACACTACGGTCATACGAGTTACCTCCCTACCCACTCTGGGTACACTACGGTCATACGAGTTACCTCCCTATCCAATCTGGGTACACTACGGTCATACGAGTTACCTCCCTCATCCCACTCTGGGTACACTACGGTCATACGAGATACCTCCCTACCCAATCTGGGTACACTACGGTCATACGAGTTACCTCACTCCCCACTCTGGGTACACTACGGTCATACGAGTTACCTCCCTCCCCACTCTGGGTACACTACGGTCATACGAGTTAACTCCCTCATCCCACTGGGTACACTACGGTCATACGAGTTACCTCTCTCCCCACTCTGGGTACACTACGGTCATACGAGTTACCTCCCTCCCCACTCTCAGTACACTACGGTCATACGAGTTACCTCCCTCCCCACTCTCAGTACACTATGGTCATACGAGTTACCTCCCTCCCCACTCTCAGTACACTACGGTCATACGAGTTACCTCCCTCCCCACTCTCAGTACACTATGGTCATACGAGTTTCCTCCCTCCCCAATCTGGGTACACTACGGTCATACGAGTTACCTCCCTACCCAATCTGGGTACACTACGGTCATACGAGTTACCTCCCTCCCCACTCTCGGTACACCATGGTCATACGAGTTACCTCCCTCCCAACTCTCAGTACACTACAGTCATACCAGTTACCTCCCTACCCAATCTGGGTAGACTACGGTCATCCGAGTAACCTCCCTCAATCCTCTGGGTACACTACGGTCATACGAGTTACCTCCCTCCCCACTCTGGGAACACTACGGTCATCCGAGTTACCTCCCTCATCCCACTGGGTACACTACGGTCATACGAGTTACCTCCCTCCCCACTCTGGGTACACTACGGTCATACGAGTTACCTCCCTCCCCACTCTCAGTACACTACGGTCATCCCCAGTTACACTCCGGTCATCCCACTGGGTACACTACTGGTCATACGAGTACCTCCTCATCTCCCACTCTGGGTACACTACTACGAGTACCTCCCTCCCCCACTGGGTACACTACGGTCATACGAGTTACCTCCCTCCCAATCAGCCCTGGGTACACTACGGTCATACGAGTTACCTCCCTCATCCCACTCTGGTACACTACGGTCATACGAGTTACCTCCCTCATCCCACTGGGTACACTATGGTCATACGAGTTACCTCCCCCCCCACCCTGGGTACACTACGGTCATACGAGTTACCTCCCTCCCCAATCTGGGTACACTACGGTCATACGAGTTACCTCCCTCATCCCACTGGGTACACTACGGTCATACGAGTTACCTCCCTCCCCACCCTGGGTACACTATGGTCATACGAGTTACCTCCCTCCCCACTCTGGGTACACTACGGTCATACGAGTTACCTCCCTCCCACTCTGGGTACACTACGGTCATACGAGTTACCTCCCTCATCCCACTGGGTACACTACGGTCATACGAGTTACCTCCCTCCCCACTCTGGGTACACTACGGTCATACGAGTTACCTCCCTCCCCACTCTGGGTACACTACGGTCATACGAGTTACCTCCCTCCCCACTCTGGGTACACTATGGTCATACGAGTTACCTCCCTCATCCCACTGGGTACACTATGGTCATACGAGTTACCTCCCTCCCCACTATGGTCATACGACTCTCTCCCATACACTACGGTCATACGAGCACCTCTCCTCCCCACCCTGGGTACACTACGGTCATACGAGTTACCTCCCTCCCCACTCTGGGTACACTACGGTCATACGAGTTACCTCCTTACCCAACTCTGGTCATACACTACGGTCATACGAGTTACCTCACCTCCCTCCCAAGCTTGTACACTACGGTCATACGAGTACACTACGGTCACTACGAGTTACCTTACCTCCTCCCACTCTCGGTACACTACGGTCATACGAGTTACCTCCCTCCCCACCTGGGTACACTACGGTCATACGAGTTACCTCCCTCCCCACTCTGGGTACACTACGGTCATACGAGTTACCTCCCTCCCCTGGGTACACTCCCCTACATATGGTCACGAGTTACCTCCCTCCCACTCTCAGTACACTACGGTCATACGAGTTACCTCTCCCTCCCCTCTGGTACACTACGGTCATACGAGTTACCTCCCTACCCACCTGGGTACACTATGGTCATACGAGTTACCTCCCTCATCCAACTGTGTACACTACGGTCATATGAGTTACTTCCCTCCCCACTCTCGGTACACTACGGTCGTACGAGTTACCTCCCTCATCCCTCTGGGTACACGACGGTCATACGAGTTACCTCCCTCCACACTCTCGGTACACTACGGTCATACGAGTTACCTCCTTACCCAAGCTGGGTACACTACGGTCATACGAGTTACCTCCCTCATCCCACTGGGTACACTACGGTCATACGAGTTACCTCCCTTCCCACTCTGGGTACACTATGATCATACGAGTTACCTCCCTCATCCCATTGGGTACACTATGGTCATACGAGTTACCTCCCCCTCCAGCCCTGGATACACTACGGTCATACGAGTTACCTTCCTCATCCCACTGGGTACACTACGGTCATACGAGTTACCTCACTCCCCACTCTGGGTACACTACGATCATACGAGTTACCTCCCCCACCAGCCCTGGATATACTATGGTCATACGAGTTACCTCCCTCCCCACTCTCGGTACACTACGGTCATACGAGTCACCTCCTTACCCAAGCTTGGTACACTACGGTCATACGAGTTACCTCCCTCATCCCACTGGGCACACTACGGTCATACGAGTTACCTCCCTCCCCACTCTGGGTACACTACGGTCATACAAGTTACCTCCCCCTCCAGCCCTGGATACACTATGGTCATACGAGTTACCTCCCTCCCCACTCTCGGTACACTACGGTCATACGAGTTACCTCCCTCCCCACTGTCGGTACACTACGGTCATACGAGTTACCTCCCTCCCCACTCTCAGTACACTACGGTCATACGAGTTACTCTCCCCCCCCCTGGGTACACTACGGTCATACGAGTTACCTCCCTCCCCACCTGGGTACACTACGGTCATACGAGTTACCTCCTCATCCCACTGGGTACACTCACGGTCATACGAGTTACCTCCCTCCCCATCCTCTGGGTACACTACGGTCATACGAGTTACCTCCCTCCCACTCTGGGTACACTACGGTCATACGAGTTACCTCCCTCATCCCACTGGGTACACTACGGTCATACGAGTTACCTCCCTCCCCACCCTGGGTACACTACGGTCATACGAGTTACCTCCCTCCCCACTCTGGGTACACTATGGTCATACGAGTTACCTCCCTCATCCCACTGGGTACACTACGGTCATACGAGTTACCTCCCTCATCCCACTGGGTACACTCACGGTCATACGAGTTACCTCCGCCCCACTCCCCTACTCTGGGTACACTACGGTCATACGAGTTACCTCCTCTCCCCACTGGTACACTACATCATACGAGTTACCTCCCCCAAGCTCTGGGTACACTATGGTCATACGAGCTACCTCCTTCCCCGCTCTGGGTACACTACGGTCATACGAGTTACCTCCCTCATCCCACTGGGTACACTACGGTCATACGAGCTACCTCCCTCATCCCACTGGGTACACTACGGTCATACGAGTTACCTCCCTCCCCACTCTTGGTACACTACGGTCATACGAGTTACCTCCTTCCCCACTCTGGGTACACTACGGTCATACGAGTTACCTCCATCCCCACCCACTGAGCATACCTCCTCCCCCCACTCTGGGTACACACTACGGTCATACGAGCTACCTCCCTCATACGACCCAATCTGGGTACACTATGGTCATACGAGTTACCTCCCTCATCCCACTGGGTACACTACGGTCATACGAGTTACCTCCTCTTCCTCTGGGTACACTACGGTCATACGAGTTACCTCCCTCCCCACTCTGGGTACACTACGGTCATACGAGTTACCTCCCTCCCCAATCTGGGTACACTACGGTCATACGAGTTACCTCCCTCCCCCTTGCTCTCTACGGTCATAATGTACACTATGGTCATATGAGTTACCTCCTCCCCCACTCTCGGTACACTACGGTCATACGAGAAGTTACCTCCTACCCAATCTGGGTACACTATGGTCATACGAGTTACCTCCCTCATCCCACTGGGTACACTACGGTCATACGAGTTACTTCCCTCCTCCCTCTGGGTACACTACGGTCATACGAGTTACCTCCCTCCCCACTCTGGATACACTACGGTCATACGAGTTACCTCCCTCCCCAATCTGGGTACACTACGGTCATACGAGTTACCTCCCTCCCCACTCTTGGTACACTACGGTCATACGAGTTACCTCCTCCCCCACTGGGTACACTACGGTCATACGAGTTACCTCCTCCCCACTCTGGGTACACTACGGTCATACGAGTTACCTCCTCCCCACCTGGGTACACTACGGTCATACGAGTTACCTCCTCCCCACTCTCGGTACACTACGGTCATACGAGTTACCTCCCTCTCCACCTCGGTACACCACGGTCATACGAGTTACCTCCTCCCCCGTCTGGGTACACTACGGTCATACGAGTTACCTCCCTCCCACCCACTGGGTACACTACGGTCATACGAGTTACCTCCTCCCCACTCTGGGTACACTATGTCATACGAGTTACCTACCCTCTGGGTACACGACTGTCATACCTACCTCCCCACTCTCGGTACACTACGGTCATACGAGTTACCTCCCTCCCTATCTTACCATACGAGCACACTACGGTCATACGAGCTACCTCCCTCATCCCACTGGGTACACTACGGTCATACGAGTTACCTCCCCACTCTCCACACTGGGTACACTACGGTCATATCGAGCTACCTCCTCACCCACCTGGGTACACTACGGTCATACGAGTTACCTCCTCCCCAAGTTGGTACACATGGGTACGACTTACCTCGCTCATACGAGCACTTCGAGTTACTCCCCTCATCTGGGTACACTATGGTCATACGAGTTACCTCCCTCCCCACTCTGGATACACTACGGTCATACGAGTTACCTCCCTCCCCAATCTGGGTACACTACGGTCATACGAGTAACCTCCCTCCCCACTCTTGGTACACTACGGTCATACGAGCTACCTCCCCCCCCTCTGGGTACACACTACGGTCATACGAAAGCTACCTCCTTACCCAATCTGGGTACACTATGGTCATACGAGTTACCTCCCTCATCCCACTGGGTACACTCACGGTCATACGAGTTACCTCCCTACTCCTCATCCCTCTGGGTACACTACGGTCATACGAGTTACCTCCTCCCACTCCACTGGGTACACTACGGTCATATTTAGCTACCCTCATCCAACTGGGTACACTATGGTCATACGAGTTACCTCCCTCCCTCCCACCTGGGTACACTATGGTCATACGAGTTACCTCCCAATTGGCACCCCACTCATACGTACACTCACGGTCATACGAGTTACCTCCCTCATCCCACTGGGTACACTACGGTCATACGAGTTACCTCCCTCCCCACTCTTGGTACACTACGGTCATACGAGTTACCTCCCCCCCCACTCTGGGAATACACTATGGTCATACGAGTTACCTCCCTCCCCCACTGGGTACACTACGGTCATACGAGTTACCTCCCTCCCCACTCTCGGTACACTACGGTCATACGAGTTACCTCCCTCCCCACTCTCGGTACACTACGGTCATACGAGTTACCTCCTTACCCAATCTGGGTACACTATGGTCATACGAGTTACCTCCCTCATCCCACTGGGTACACTACGGTCATACGAGTTACCTCCCTCCCCACTCTCGGTACACTACGGTCGTACGAGTTACCTCCCTCATCCCTCTGGGTACACGACGGTCATACGAGTTACCTCCCTCCCCACTCTCAGTACACTATGGTCATACGAGTTACCTCCTTACCCAAGCTGGGTACACTACGGTCATACGAGTTACCTCCCTCATCCCACTGGGTACACTACGGTCATACGAGTTACCTCCCTCCCCACCTCTCTGGGTACACTACGGGCATACGAGTTACCTCCCTTCCCACTCTGGGTACACTATGGTCATACGAGTTACCTCCCTCATCCCACTGAGTACACTATGGTCATACGAGTTACCTCCCCCTCCAGCCCTGGATACATTACGGGCATACGAGTTACCTCCCTCCCCACTCTGGGTACACTACGGTCATACGAGTTACCACCCTCATCCCACTGGGTACACTACGGTCATACGAGTTACCTCCCTCCCCAGCCCTGGATACACTACGGTCATACGAGTTACCTCCCTCCCCACTCTCGGTACACTACGGTCATACGAGTTACCTCCTTACCCATGCTGGGTACACTACGGTCATACGAGTTACCTCCCTCATCCCACTGGGTACACTACGGTCATACCAGTTACCTCCCTCCCAACTCTGGGTACACTACCTCTCCCCCTCCACACACACACACACACACACACACACACACACCTGATAGGCTACGGTCATACGACTTATGTTTAACTATTCCTCGAAACAGTATGATTGCACATGATTGTCAACACTCGGTGTGAGCACACTACTGCACAAGTGAAACTACTGCAGACCACAGTCCACTGCTAACAAGACCACAGATGTTAAAGAGACTGCAGGCTGTGGTAGCACATCTGATGTCACTCACGTCTCGCATCAGCACCGAGGAAGTTTGTTTGTTGTTTAACGCCGAATTCAGCAATATTCCAGCTACATGTCGATAAAATATGTACTATCTATAAATAATGGACCAGACAAACCTGTGATGAGCATGAGCATCGATCCACTCATCTGGGATACGATGACATGTGTCAACGCGACTGACCATATGATGCCCTTAATATAGTGAAGTAGACAGCCGTGTGCAGTGACTGACGTGCATTATGACTGACGGTGCATTATGACTGACGATGCATTATGACTGACGGTGCATGATGACTGACGGTACATTATGACTGACCGTATAACCATAGGCATATTTCTCTTCATGGCCTCGACCCTAGAACTGGACCGATCATATTGGTGTGAGGACGTATATACTACACCGGCGTCACTTGAAGAGATCATCTAACACAAAGGTGACATCAATTCACATGGGTGAAACACTGTTCGTTCATTCATCAACATCAGTTCTGTGTTTGGACATTCCATGGAAGTCAACACTTGTCCATGTCCTGCGTGTTGCTCTCTTCCTGTTGGTCAGTGTCCAGGCGGTTGTGTCCCTCGGGCAGGAACACCAGTAGGAATATGGACAGACAGAAGGTTGACACCAGGAACCAGTTCATCCAGGCAGTGCCTGAACAGAAAGTTGCCAGTTACTTCAGATTCAACATACTCTGCATGTGAGTTAAGATACACAATACCTACGCGCAAACATGCATCTAACACAACGTAACCATTTAAGGTAAACGCTTGAACATTTCACAATGTCTGCACTTTTCTCTACTGCAAGTTTAGCCACTCTGACATGAATGATACCGCGACATCGACTGACGGGTGTTATAAATACGGGGCGATGGGTCTGCTGACTACAAGACTGGATTCTAATCACTCTGTATCATTCTTATCAAGCTTTATATCATTCCACTTCATTCCATGATTCTACCTCTTTCTGTATCATTCAATCATTTGTCTATGCAATTCTATACACCATGCTCTGCCCTCTGCCTCATGATGTATAATTCTATTTCATTCTAGAAAATATGGGTTTATGCCATTCTATGCCTAGAATTTTCCCGACTCACTTCATTCTGTATCGAATATCGCCCATCCTTATTGATTTCATTCCATCCACTTACTGTTACACTTCTTCTACCTCCTACTTCAGCCTACAAACTGCTTTATGATTCTACCTGTCACATGTATGATTCAATGACATCCCATATAATCCCACTCGACCATACTCTGCCTCATTCTACCTCATTCTATATTATTCTACCTCATTCTGTATTATTCTACCTCCTTCTATATTATTCTACCTCATTTTATATTATTCTACCCCATTCTGTCTTATTCTACATCCTTCTATATTATTCTACCCCATACTGTATTATTCTACCTCATTCTGTATTATTCTACCCTATTCTATTTATTCTACCTCATTCTATATTATTCTACCTCATTATTCTATATTATTCTACCTCCTTCTATATTATTCTACCCCATTCTGTATTATTCTACCTCATTCTGTATTATTCTACCCCATTCTATTTATTCTACCTCAGTCTATACTATTCTACCTTCATTCTATATTATTGTACCTCATTCTATATTATTGTACCCTCATTCTGTATTATTCTACATCCTTCTATATTATTCTACCTCATTCTATATTATTCTACCCCATTCTGTATTATTCTACATCCTTCTATATTATTCTACCCCATACTGTATTATTCTACCTCATTCTGTATTATTCTACCCTATTCTATTTATTCTACCTCAGTCTATACTATTCTACCTTCATTCTATATTATTGTACCTCATTCTATATTATTGTATATTTCATTTTATTTTGACGGAGCCATTTTATTTCCGAAACGATTTTTATTTTTCGAGGAGCGGGAGCCGACGGAGAGCGGCTTTATTTCGAGTCGGAGCCGGGATTTATTTCGAGAGACGCGAGAGCCGAGACGCGAGATTTTGAGCCGAGCGGAGCCGCATTTTTGCCTGGAGATGAAGACGCGAGATTACCGAGATTTATTTACTTTATTTTGAGAGCCATTTTATTTTGAGTGAGCCACTTTTGTCGAGCATTTATTTCCGAGGAGATGAACTTTTATTTATGAGCCAGAGCCGGAGAGAGCCGAGACGAGAGCGCGTATTTTATATTAAGACGGGATGAGCCGAGAGCTTTACTTCCGGAGCCGGAGGAGCCATTTTGCCGAGATGATTATTTTAGGAGAATTTTATTTAGGAGAGGGCTTTGTTGAGAGCCGGATTTTTTACGAGCCGGGATGGAGGGAAGTGAGACGCGGAGGAGATGATTTAGAGCCGAGAGTATTATTCTACATGCTTCTGTATTATTCTACCTCATTCTATATTATTCTACCTCATTCTGTATTATTCTACATCCTTCTATATTATTCTACATCCTTCTTTATTATTCTACCTCATTCTATATTATTCTACCTCATTCTATATTATTCTACCTCATTCTGTATTATTCTACCTCATTCTGTATTTTTCCACCTGATTCTATATTATTTTACCTCCTTCTCTTTCAGTATGCATAACACTATATCACCCTACGCATGCTATTTTATTCTATATCTGTCATATATCTGTAGATATATGTATCATTTCATCTCAATCTTCAGCATTGTATATTATTTTCATCATTCTATAGTTGGTTGGATCCCATAGATAGATAGATAGATCGTCTTTATTTCCTCCAAAATTGAAGATACATATGCATGATTTAGCGGATATTACATTTTACAAGGTAAAAGTGTATGAAAGTTATACAATACAAAAACATTTAAAGATATGTATATATCGGGGGGATGTAAATCTAGTAACATGTGATGAAAAACCGTTTCCATTCATGAACAGCTTTACTCGTGATTTTCATACATTGAATCCATAGATCAGTATCAAGATCTCTAATGTTGTCATTTGGCACTCCTCCAAGTAGAAAACTAATCAGTGCATCATCATCATCATTCCAAACACTTACAAAGGTTGTAACATCCAATAGATCAATGAGGGAGCTAAGTAGTCGCTCTCTGTTACATTCCGTTTGTGGACAAAAGAGAAATACATGTTTTACAATGTCATAAGCATATGTGCCACATAAGCATTCTTTAGATTGTATAGCGAAAGTGCCGACACGGATAAGGTAGGATATGTCATAGAAATAATCTGAATCATTAAGAGCTATTAACCAAAGTTTGTTACTAGCAGCTGGATTGCGTAGGAGAGCATATCTGTGGAGATTGACTCTGTAGTTAAGCTCAGAGGTAACGACATTTGCTTCAAATTTTGAGACTTTATCTCTTACAAGATTTGACCATTGATTTTTGGTAACAAATACAGATGAGTTACGATAAATGTAAGATCATATTTACAGGTAAGATATAACATATGGTGTAAAGGAGAGGATATACACTTCAGCATGTTTTGCATACTATCCTTACAATCATGTTGAGCTAATCTATAGTGAAGAATTCGTTTGAAAATGAAACTAATATCAGTGTTAAGCAGTCTTCCCAGGAACAATAATGCTCTCTGATTAATATACGCACGTAGTGATACAAGTCCAAGACAGTCTCTGGCAATGACCGAGCACGTGCGTTTAGAGAACCCTTGTACTTTTTTACAGAAGTACTTTTGCACACATTCAAGCATATCGTATTCTTTAGTTGATAAGTTACACGACATATTACAGGCAAATAGACCACAGGGTAGTACAATACGTTCCCATATGCGTACAGCATGCATAGGGTGAAGACCACCAAAATACAATCCATGACTGTGGTTAACATTGACTAGCTTTCTAAGCTTTTCACATATTAAAACAGTACGATTAAGGGTAGATTTAGCGGTGTTTATGTACAGGCCCGCATATACGACATCGGTTTTGCGGTTAATAACATGATCACCCAAAAATAGCTCTGGGCATTCGTGTTTATGATAATCACCAAACAGAAGGAAGGCACTTTTACCAGCATTAAACCTAAGGTGCCATGTTTTTGCATAATCAGATATAACATTCAATAAACATTGAAGACCATCGGGTGTACAACTTAATAGGGTTGTATCATCTGCAAGTAGGATACCAGGGGTAGTGGCCCAGGGCAGGTTTAAGCCTCTTCCTGAATTATCAGCAGCATTTAACAGATCGTTAATGTACAGTGTAAACAACCAAGCCGATAGGACCCGTCCTTGCCCAACACCCTGACGTATTTCAAAGGTATCCGAAATATGTCCGCCAATGCTAATACGTGATTTCATTGATGAAGAAAGTATGTATAAAAGTCTCCACATTTTACCTTTAATTCCAAAGTTGTGCAGTTTTAGGAAAAGACCATTAAGCCAAACCCGGTCGAATGCTTTTCATTATCGACAAATGTACAGTATACTGGCGTTTCTCTTTCATTGTAGTAAGCAATAGTTTCTTGGAGCGTAAAAATGCGGTCTCTGCTCCAGCACCTTTTCTAAAACCAAACTGAAAAGGGTGAGGAAAATTCTTTACTTCTGTTGCCCAGCTTTCGATTCTATTCAAAAGCAATCTTTCAAAAAGTTTACCTAAAACTGGAGTAAGTGTGATGCCTCTGTAATTAGAAGGGTTATCCTTACTTTTACCATGGCCTTTGTGGATTGGAAGTATATTCCCCACACTAAACAACTTAGGAACATATTCATAAGAAACAATATCATTATAAAACGTAAGAAGGTGGTTGATGAGTGATCTTCCACTAAATTTAACATGCTCATTTACAATATGATCCGGGCCTGGTGATTTACCCGTCTTCAATGATTTTAGAGTTTTCAATAGTTCATCACCAGTAAATGGACATAAAAGATTCATACTGGTGTCATTACAGTCATCAACGTCTTGTCTTGTGACAAGATCTTCAATAAAACTATTAACAAAACAGGTAAAATCTTGATCAAAATTGATATCTTCATACGGCTGGGGGAGATCCCTAAAGTACTTAGCAAATAGGTTACAGATACTTTCTGGAGTGTCACAGGTCTCGTTCTCGTACACAAGGGTTTTAACTCGTTCTTTATTGCGTTTGTACTTTTTGTAACCCTGGTATATTCCTGAATATCAGCTTCGGCTGCTTCATAGATGTCCCTGAACTTTTCATCTTGAAGTTTACGTTTTGATCGGCGATGTTTTTTCGAAAGATTCTCTTAGCCTGGTTATATTTTACGTAGTGAACATCGTCCTTATTTCGTGGCTTACCCATATGGACCCATTCTTTACGTGCGTGTCGCATATCGTTATGACATGGCTTTAAATTATCCCTCTTCCAGTAGGGTTTTAAATGGGATTGAAATTTTGAAGCAGGAATACTGATATTGGCTGAAGCATGTAATGAATCAAGGATGAAATTATGGTAGGCTTCAATATATTCCTCTGGTGTGTTGTAATCAGCTATATCTAAACTGACATTTCTGAAATAATTTTCAGTCTCATAGCGATAAAGCATCAGATCAATGCTGTTTGCCTTTCGCCAGTTTAACTTTTCACCCCCATAGTGATATTGACGTACATCATCAGTTACATGCATACAAATAAGTATAGGGTAGTGATCTGAGACAGAGTACGGGATGGAATAGTCAATATCATAGCCAACAATGCTACTTCTACAATCAGTGTTAACAAAAACATAATCGATCATAGTTTTGTATAGATCATGTATATTATTTTCATCATTCTATAGTTGGTTGGATCCCATACACTGATTATTACCTGGTCTGGCGGTTTACATCTACACCCACAAGGACCACGGGATTGGGAACCAGAGCAACAACTACTCCCGCCGTTCTCTGAATACAGTTACACGTGATATCACACACAGGAAATGAACGGTGTAGTTCAAATATTCAATGTGTAATAGCAGAGCACAGCATTTCCAGGACCCCTACAAAGGGGTAGGTACAATGTGCTGGACAGTAACAACAGTGGACATCCCATACAATACCAATCAGTTTAATGTTAAAGTAGAGTTTTGGTAATACTGAGTATTGCAATAATTCAAATTTGGCAACTGATACTGGATCTGTTCTTTGTGCTACATGAATTTCTGTACATACAAGAACGTATTTGTATTGATCAAGTCAATTAGCAACAATTTTGTTATTGCAATTCCTGATAATAAACCCACCCATAACCTCCTATACAATTCTTCTTCACTTTGCTTTATTTTATATTCATCACGTGAAATTAACGATTAAGATATACGATTATCAACTTCTTTCTTAACATATGTCATATGAATTGAAACTTTTAATTGCCCGTAACGATTTTCATCTCCGGTCTGTACTATGTTCCAAAACACACACACACACACACACACACACACACACACACACACACACACACACACACACACACACACACACACACACACACACACACACACACACACACACACACACACACACACACACACACACACAACACACACACACACAACAACACAACACAACACCCACACACACACACAACACACACAACACACACACCCATAACACACACACCCATAACACACACACACGCCCATAACACACACACGCACGCGTGTGTTCTGCTGTATTTGATGTGGTGGCTTCAGCAGCCAGAAACATACCTATCCCAGGCACTGACATGACTCCCAGGAACACCAGACCGGCAAGATTGTTCATGGAGGTGAGACTGACGTTAGTGATGCCCTCTGCTACTGGGTACGTCGTCTCGCAAACAAGTTCATAAAACAACGGACTGAGGGACCCGCTGCTCACACAGGTGAGGATGTAAGATGCATACATAGAACCTGCAGAGGAAGCACCTGTGTCATATCATACATAGAACCTGCAAAGAATACACCTGTGTTATATCACATATAGAACCTGCAGAGAATACATCTGTGTCATATCATACATAGAACCTGCAAAGAATACACCTGCGTTATATCATATATAGAACCTGCAGAGATAACACCTGTGTCATGTCATATAGAACCTGCAGAGATAACACCTGTGTCATATCGTATAAAGAACCCGCAGAGAATACACCTGTGTCATATCATATATAGAACCTGCAAAGAATACACCTGTGTCATATCATACATAGGACCTGCAAAGAATACACCTGCGTTATATCATATATAGAACCTGCAGATATAACACCTGTGTCATATCGTACATAGAACCTGCAGAGAATACACCTGTGTCATATCATATATAGAACCTGCAAAGAATACACCTGTGTCATATCATACATAGAACCTGCAAAGAATACACCTGCGTTATATCATATATAGAACCTGCAGAGAATACACACCTGATATCATATATAGATGCAGAGATACACCTGTGTCATATCGTACATAGAACCTGCAGAGAAAACACCTGTGTCATGTCATATAGAACCTGCAGAGAAAACACCTGTGTCATATCATATATAGAACCTGCAGAGAATACACCTGTGTCATATCATACATAGAACCTGCAAAGAATACACCTGCGTTATATCATATATAGAACCTGCAGAGATAACACCTGTGTCATATCGTACATAGAACCTGCAGAGAATACACCTGTGTCATATCATACATAGAACCTGCAAAGAATACACCTGCGTTATATCATATATAGAACCTGCAGACATAACGCCTGTGTCATGTCATATAGAACCTGCAGAGAATACACCTGTGTCATATCATATATAGAACCTGCAGAGATAACACCTGTGTCATGTCATATAGAACCTGCAGAGAATACACCTGTGTCGTATCGTACATAGAACCTGCAGTGAAAACACCTGTGTCATATCATACATAGAACCTGCAGAGAAAACACCTGTGTCATATCGTACATAGAACCTGCAGAGAAAACACCTGTGTCGTATCGTACATAGAACCTGCAGAGAAAACACCTGTGTCGTATCGTACATAGAACCTGCAGAGAAAACACCTGTGTCGTGTCATACTGACTGATATGTAATACATTCAACGCTGTATAATTACGTTCCAGACAAATGATATCTTTCCATATTCGTCAACCATTTGGTTCAGTATTTGTTGAAGTGATGACTAGATGACACTTAAAATCAACCTCGCTCTGACATTGTCGTACACTGTGGGTGGGCGGGCAAACCGTTTTTCACGCCTTTGACCGCGATGGGTTTTATTAGAAAAAGGAACAATATGGTAAACCTATGGGAATACATTATACGTTGTACAGTTATTAAGAAGATATTGTATAATTGTATTTTCTAAAATTATTGGGAATAAATTGTGTTTTGTACAGTAACTGAGAATCAACTGCATTTTGTACAAGTATTGGGAATAAATGGTATTTTGTACAATTCTGTAAACCTTACAGGGCCAGCTATTCCTACTTTCCCTGGTAGGGTGCTTTACGCTTTCATCTAGCGGAACACCGTAGGGGTTCAAAGATAAAAATGGTTGGCAGGAAGCTAGATGAAGGACCGGCAGGTGACTTGGTTATCAGCGTCACATTGGACTATAACACAGGGGATCTTTACTCATACTATCAGTCACTGGATTATCTGGTCCAAATTAGGATTAATCACAGGCCACCGAGACATACGGAGTGTAGATGAGTGCGGTGTTAATTAACAAACTCGTATCATTTGAATAGTTAACCACAAGATGTAGTTCTGGTAGGGCAGTTAATAATGTTTATATATGAGGGAACTGTCATGGCACCCTTGCTACAGAGGGTGTGATATGTCCCTGCAAACACAGTCAGGTATATTTTCATCAATCACAGCCTACAGGGAACGCAGTTTATCACTTGGATTTGATTACTATTTCTGTTAACATTTATCTTCAACTTTTCCTACCCTTTGACTCTGGTAAAATCTCCAGTATGAGCAACACCAACCACAGATATGACGCTGTGGTGAGGATCATCAGCAAAAAGATAAATGTCTTCAAACGTCTCTGGAAGTGATCGGCAAATCTGTGAAACATGATAATGTATGTAGCAATTATTTAGTGTCAACATCTAACACACATATATATAACAAGTTAAAACATTGATTACACAACAGCCTCGTTTCCTGCTGACTGGGTTCTGTCCTATTGCGCAACTTAGTACAATAACCGGTCCAGAATTTTTAGACCAATTCATTCAACTGGATACATAAAATATGAATCAGTATTATTTGATACATCTAAGCACTTGTTTATTGCAACACTACGCTCCTTCTAATCCTTGCATACACGTCGTGCAGCGTGCTCTGGGAGAAATATTCCCCCTGCCAATCAGAATGAGCGTATGTAGAGAAGAAATTGGGTCCAAATAGTTAGTTGAAATATTTTTCATTTCGGCTTGCATAATTTTTCCCCAGACACTTCAAGCATATTTTAATTATTGCATAGTCCTCCTGGGTTTCCTGAATTTGCATAACCAGGACATATTAACATTATGGCGTAGGAAAGTATTTAAGCATGTTAAACATACCGTTGAGGTAATTTACTTGGCGTGGATGCTGTGTGTGTTTTCCATGTAAACTAGAGTTACATGCCCTTGAAAATAGCTCGGCGACTCGACTGTTTCTTTCTCTCGGTGCTTTTGCGCTCAGACAGAGTCAAGTTCAGGAAATTGGCTACGAGAGGGGTACGAGTCTTCTTTCAGGGTTCGGAAAGGGGCGAGTAGTTACAAATGACAGCGTGCTCTGACAAACGGTAATCTGGAAATCGTGATAATCTCAAAACGAGGCTCGGCCGCTAGAAACGTTTGGCAGTCTAGTACGGACTTGATATTATATCATTCACATTGTGCGTTACAAAACTACACTAAATAAGCGCAAAGAACACATAACAGGTGCAACCAGTGAGCCAGATGAATTTTGAATCAATTTAGGACCTCATCAAACAGGGGCAGTCTGTGACGTCTTAGTTATGGTCATGCTGCCTAAACCTCTCCATGAAATATAGAAATACGATTTAATTAAAGACTGAAACTAAACTGCATGTGTAAATACCATTTTCTTATGAAACAAGGAATTGGAATTTGGTGTAACCATAGTTGTTTGTAGTGTCTCTTTTCACTTTCACACGAGAAAATTCGTATCGGCTGAAAAGTAGGTCGTCGTCTGAATTGGTTAATGAGACTCATAGTTCAGTTTGCCGGAACAAAGCATTGCAACACCTTATTTTTAGATAAGCATCGATATTTCCGTAATACACATTCCATTTGGGATGACACTTTCCCAGTAAAGTACAGTTTACGCGGTGGGCGAACTGGCTAAAGCGGTGGGCGAACTGGCGCGGTGGGCGAACTGGCTAAAGCGCCAGGCTTGTCATCCAGCGAGCATGAGGTGACGGGATCGAGCCCACCTGTGACCGAGTGTAAAAACCTTGGAGTCAACTTTGTGTGCAGACTCTTTCAGTGTTGTCACAACCCCTAGTGTACAGTACACAACCCTGTGCACTTAAAAGAACCCACGAATCCGTTGGTATATGACCAGATGGTGGCCACATGGATACGTGCAAACACCTAGTTGCGGGTACAGCAACGTGCAGTCAACTTGGACAAAGTACTGTGACTATGGGTCCCAGTCAACCCAGCTGTGAATGGGTACCTCGTAAGGATGGGAATGCCACAATAACTCGGTGCGCCTAGTGGCTGCAAGAGTTGTATGATCCCCAGGGAGTTGAGATTGACATTACGAGATGCCGTTGAGATTGACATCCAGTGAACGAGGGAAAAACTAAGCGCCTTTGAGCAGCTGAGCTGGATATCGGCGCTATACGTATGTTAGTATGTAATGTTAGTATGTTATACTACTTTTGTTGGGTTGAGTCTCTTCGGAAACCAAATCCACACACTCAGAGGCGCCCAAAGGGCCTGCACACAAGGTCAGCCGTCTAAACCACTCTTCCACAACCATGTTAGTTGTTGTTCACTTAAAGGCTTTAGTGTGGTGAAAGGACGCTGCACGATCGTCCATTGTGGGTAGTTGTGCTTGCAGTTGAATCTGGAGATGACATACTTTAATGTATTTTCCTGAACAACTAGTGCCTTACCTTGCTGTAGTGATGACTGTTATTGCCCCAGCTATAGTTCCATAAAACCCAAGCCATCCTGCCTGCTTCTGTGGAGCAAACATTAGTTCTATTATTGTATTCACATAGGGTTTCATGGTGCTATAACACTGTATAGTGTTTCATGATGCTACACCACTGTATAATGTTTCATGATGCTATACCACTGTATAATGTTTCATGATGCTATACCGCTGTATAATGTTTCACGATGCTATACCACTGTATAATGTTTCATGATGCTATACAGCTGTATAGTGTTTCATGATGCTATACCACTATATAGTGTTTCATGATGCTATACCACTATATAGTGTTTCATGATGCTATACCACTGTATAGTGTTTCATGATGCTACACCACTGTATAGTGTTTCATGATGCTATACCACTGTATAGTGTTTCATGATGCTATACCACTGTATAATGTTTCATGATGCTATACCACTGTATAATGTTTCATGATGCTATACCGCTGTACAGTGTTTCATGATGCTATACCACTGTATAGTGTTTCATGATGCTACACCACTGTATAATGTTTCATGATGCTATACCACTGTATAGTGTTTCATGATGCTATACCACTGTATAATGTTTCATGATGCTATAACACTGTATAATGTTTCATGAGGCTATAACGCTGTATAATGTTTCATGATGCTATACCACTGTATAGTGTTTCTTGATGATATATCAATATATAGTGTTTCATGATGGTATACCACTATATAGTGTTTCATGATGCTACACCACTGTATCATGTTTCATGATGCTATACCGCTGTATAATGTTTCATGAGGCTATACCGCTGTATAATGTTTCATGGTGCTATACCACTGTATAATGTTTCATGATGCTATACCACTGTATAGTGTTCATGATGCTATAACACTGTATAATGTTTCATGATGCTATACCACTGTATAATGTTTCACGATGCTATACCACTGTATAGTGTTTCATGATGGTATACCACTGTATAATGTTTCATGATGCTATACCACTGTATAATGTTTCATGATGCTATACCACTGTATAGTGTTTCATGATGGTATACCACTGTATAGTGTTTCATGATGCTATACCACTGTATAGTGTTTCATAATGCTATACCACTGTATAGTGTTTCATGAGGCTATACCGCTGTATAGTGTTTCATGATGCTATACCACTGTATAATGTTTCATGATGCTATACCACTGTATAATGTTTCATGATGCTATACCACTGTATAATGTTTCATGATGCTATACCGCTGTATAATGTTTCATGATGCTATACCACTGTATAGTGTTTCATGATGCTATACCACTGTATAGTGTTTCATGATGCTATACCACTGTATAATGTTTCATGATGCTATACCACTGTATAATGTTTCATGATGCTATACCGCTGTATAGTGTTTCATGATGCTATACCACTGTATAGTGTTTCATGATGCTATACCGCTGTATAATGTTTCATGATGCTATACCGCTGTATAATGTTTCATGATGCTATACCACTGTATAATGTTTCATGATGCTATACCACTGTATAGTGTTTCATGATGCTATACCACTGTATAATGTTTCATGATGCTATACCACTATATAGTGTTTCATGATGGTATACCACTATATAGTGTTTCATGATGCTATAGCACTGTAAAGTGTTTCGTAATGCTGTACCACTGTATAGTGTTTCACGATGCTATAACACTGTATAGTGTTTCATGATGCTATACCACTGTATAATGTTTCATGATGCTATACCACTGTATAATGTTTCATGATGCTATACCACTGTATAATGTTTCATGATGCTATACCGCTGTACAGTGTTTCATGATGCTATACCACTGTATAGTGTTTCATGATGCTATACCACTGTATAGTGTTTCATGATGCTATACCACTGTATAATGTTTCATGATGCTATACCACTGTATAATGTTTCATGATGCTATACCACTGTATAGTGTTTCATGATGCTATACCACTGTATAATGTTTCATGATGCTATACCACTGTATAGTGTTTCATGATGCTATACCGCTGTATAATGTTTCATGATGCTATACCATGGTTTATACCACTATATACCACTGTATAGTGTTTCATGATGCTATACCACTGTATAATGTTTCATGATGCTATACCGCTGTATAGTGTTTCATGATGCTATACCACTGTATAAGTGTTTCATGATGCTATACCACTGTATAGTGTTTCATGATGGTATACCACTGTATAATGTTTCATGATGCTATACCACTGTATACTGTATCATAATGCTATACCACTGTATAATGTTTCATGAGGCTATACCGCTGTATAGTGTTTCATGATGCTATACCACTATATAGTGTTTCATGATGCTATACCACTATATAGTGTTTCATGATGGTATACCACTATATAGTGTTTCATGATGCTACACCACTGTATAATGTTTCATGATGCTATACCACTGTATAATGTTTCATGATGCTATAACGCTGTATAATGTTTCATGATGCTATACCACTGTATAGTGTTTCTTGATGATATATCAATATATAGTGTTTCATGATGCTATACCACTATATAGTGTTTCATGATGCTATACCACTGTATCATGTTTCATGATGCTATACCGCTGTATAATGTTTCATGAGGCTATACCGCTGTATAATGTTTCATGGTGCTATACCACTGTATAATGTTTCATGATGCTATACCACTGTATAGTGTCATGATGCTATAACACTGTATAATGTTTCATGATGCTATACCACTGTATAATGTTTCACGATGCTATACCACTGTATAGTGTTTCATGATGGTATACCACTGTATAATGTTTCATGATGCTATACCACTATATAGTGTTTCATGATGGTATACCACTATATAGTGTTTCATGATGCTATACCACTGTATAATGTTTCATGATGCTATACCACTGTATAGTGTTTCACGATGCTATAACACTGTATAGTGTTTCATGATGCTATACCACTGTATAATGTTTCATGATGCTATACCACTGTATAATGTTTCATGATGCTATACCACTGTATAATGTTTCATGATGCTATACCACTGTATAGTGTTTCATGATGCTATACCACTATATAGTGTTTCATGATGCTATACCACTGTATAATGTTTCATGATGCTATACCACTGTATAATGTTTCATGATGCTATAACACTGTATAATGTTTCATGATGCTATAACGCTGTATAATGTTTCATGATGCTATACCACTGTATAGTGTTTCATGATGGTATACCACTATATAGTGTTTCATGATGGTATACCACTATATAGTGTTTCATGATGCTATACCACTGTATAATGTTTCATGATGCTATACCACTGTATAATGTTTCATGATGCTATACCACTGTATAATGTTTCATGATGCTATACCACTGTATAATGTTTCATGATGCTATACCACTGTATAGTGTTTCATGATGGTATACCACTGTATAATGTTTCATGATGCTATACCACTGTATACTGTTTCATGATGGTATACCATGTTTCTATACCACTGTATAATGTTCATGATGCTATATACCGCTGTATAATGTTTCATGATGCTATACCACTGTATAGTGTTTCATGATGCTATACCACTATATAGTGTTTCATGATGGTATACCACTATATAGTGTTTCATGATGCTACACCACTGTATAATGTTTCATGATGCTATACCACTGTATAATGTTTCATGAGGCTATAACGCTGTATAATGTTTCATGATGCTATACCACTGTATAGTGTTTCTTGATGATATATCAATATATAGTGTTTCATGATGGTATACCACTATATAGTGTTTCATGATGCTACACCACTGTATCATGTTTCATGATGCTATACCGCTGTATATGATGTTTCATGATGCTATACCGCTGTATAATGTTTCATGATGCTATACCACTGTATAATGTTTCATGATGCTATACCACTGTATAGTGTTTCATGATGCTATACCACTGTATAATGTTTCATGATGCTATACCACTGTATAATGTTTCATGATGCTATACCACTGTATAGTGTTTCATGATGCTATACCACTGTATAGTGTTTCATGATGCTATACCACTGTATAGTGTTTCATGATGCTATACCACTGTATAGTGTTTCATGATGCTATACCACTGTATAGTGTTTCATGATGCTATACCACTGTATAGTGTTTCATGATGCTATACCACTGTATAGTGTTTCATGATGCTATACCACTGTATAATGTTTCATGATGCTATACCACTGTATAATGTTTCATGATGCTATACCACTGTATAATGTTTCATGATGCTATACCGCTGTACAGTGTTTCATGATGCTACACCACTGTATAGTGTTTCATGATGCTATACCACTGTATAGTGTTTCATGATGCTATACCACTGTATAATGTTTCATGATGCTATACCACTGTATAATGTTTCATGATGCTATACCACTGTATAGTGTTTCATGATGCTATGCTACCCACTGTATAATGTTTCATGATGCTATACCACTGTATAATGTTTCATGAGGCTATACCACTGTATAATGTTTCATGATGCTATACCACTGTATAGTGTTTCATGATGCTATACCACTGTATAGTGTTTCATGATGCTATACCACTGTATAATGTTTCATGATGCTATACCACTGTATAGTGTTTCATGATGCTATACCACTGTATAGTGTTTCATGATGCTATACCACTGTATAGTGTTTCATGATGCTATACCACTGTATAGTGTTTCATGATGCTATACCACTGTATAGTGTTTCATGATGCTATACCACTGTATAATGTTTCATGATGCTATACCACTGTATAATGTTTCATGATGCTATACCGCTGTATAGTGTTTCATGATGCTATACCACTGTATAGTGTTTCATGATGCTATACCACTGTATAGTGTTTCATGATGCTATACCACTGTATAATGTTTCATGATGCTATACCACTGTATAATGTTTCATGATGCTATACCACTGTATAGTGTTTCATGATGCTATACCACTGTATAATGTTTCATGATGCTATACCACTGTATAATGTTTCA